AGAAATCGCCAATGGCACCTTTAATTAGTACGCGATCATAGCCCTGCCCACGCGTTTCTCTTGCTAACGCTAACCGACGTTAGCCAAACCCTCAACGAAATCATGCCCATGATCTACCGTCGTTTCACCGAGAAGGCCGCCGAAGAATGGAGGCAAATATACAAGGCGCTTCAGCTTCTCGAATTCTTGATCAAGCATGGCTCGGAACGAGTCATCGACGATGCGCGCGGCCATATAACTCTATTAAAAATGCTGCGGCAATTTCACTACATCGATCAGAACGGCAAGGACCAGGGAATCAACGTCCGAAATCGTGCAAAGGAACTTGCGGAACTTCTAGGCGACGTCGATCGGATCCGGGCGGAACGGAAGAAGGCCAGAACCAACAAAGCGAAATACACGGGAGTCGAAGGCGGCACCATGGGAGGTTTCTCCAGTAGCAGCCGCTTCGGCGGATTTGGTAGCGAGTCGGGCGGCTATGGCGGGTACTCGGGCGGTGTATACGGTGACGGCGGCGGGTTCGGAGGCCAGTCTGATGACTGGAGAGATTCCAGCGCCAGTCGTGCAGACAAGTTCGAAGAATATGACGAGTTCGATGAGGGATCTGCGCCGTCAAGCTCATCTCGAGCGAAGCGACCCGAACGTAGCGAAAGGATGGGCGTCAAGAAGACCGTCGAACCTGTAAAGAAGAAAGAGCCCGAGGTCGACCTCTTCTCTTTTGACGACCCTGTTCCTGCGGCGACCACCTCTACAGCTGCTCCGTCGAATGGTTCTTCTGGACTGGCAGCTCTGTCGACGGCTAATAATGATGACGACGACTTTGATGATTTCCAATCGGCAGCGCCCGCACCTTCAAACAACGTCGGCATCCCGCCGCCCATGGTGACGTCGAACGCTCATTCCACCGCCCAATTCGCTGCGCCAAAGCCCTTGTCCGGGCCGCAGCAAGCTAATCTTAGCGATATGATGTCGTCGATCTCACCTCCCACAAGCGCCACCACGACACCTGCGGCCAACTACTCATCTTTCAGCATACCGGTAGCCGCGAGTATGTCTGCCCAAGCGCCAAAGCCGACGGCCAGTTATCAAGCGGCAGCTCCTAATTATTATCAGTCCGTCCAAGCCCAGCCGACGGGATCATCAATCTCTGGGGTATCGTCCACAACTGGCGTTTCTACTACATCCGGCCTATCAGCATTTAATAAACCGGCAGCCCCAGCGACATCTAAACCTGCCGCCGGTGGTGACCCGTTTGCGAATCTCTGGGGTCAAGCCGGTAGCGGTCTGAAGAAAGCGAGCACACCGACTGCGGGACCGAAGATGGGTCAGCTCGCCAAGGAGAAGACCAGCGCGTCGCTCTGGGGGGCGCCCGCAGCAGGCACGCAAAAACCTGCAGGCAGTTCACAAGCAGGTGGTGGATCAACCGGAGGCAGTGGCTTAGACGACTTATTAGGTTAGGGAACTACCCTAGCCCGTAATAAGGCTTTAGCCAGGGCCAAGTCTACGCATACATACGAAAGATAGGAGACTGCGTATCACATTGACGATATCAGCAACGTACAGCGTTGACCAGAACTTAGAATTGGAAGTTGATTGATTGACAGTAGTTTTTTTTTTCTTGTTATTGTTTTCTTCCTGTTATTTAGTGGACTGTTGCATGGATGGTTTCAACACGTTCGCAAAAAGGCGCCTGGGAGTAAAACGACTACGGTACAATCTAAACAGATCGAGTTACAGATCAATATTTCCATTTGATGATATAAGACCTCTTGTGAAGACTAACAAGCCTTATACAGAAATTAGATTCATGCAATTCTCAGTACCATATGATATCGTATCACCACTCATCTGCTACGATGTCGCTAGCACATACGATGCACTATTCTAAATATCGTATCTGCCATCGCTGTTTCAGGTCAGGGTTATGTTAACAACGATAGGACTTCTAAGCTTCCGAAGCTTCTACTTAATCTCCACCATAGTTGGATTGGCCAATAAAGATGCATGCGGCTCGGGAATTCCATAGCTGCATAGCAACAGAGCCGCCTTCCCAAGCCTGCGGCGTCTGTCGTACGCTGATCGGCAATTTTACAAGGGAGAAATAGATTGGCCAACCTATTGGTTGACGATTCACGATGCTCTCAAATACAACAAACTAATACCCGTGCTCATATAATAATCCATGCCGGCGGCTACATACAGGCGCAAACAACCCAAGGCTGCTAACCGCGGCCCGCGCTTAACCATCCCTGAACGACCCACCGATCTCATTTCACCTTGGCTGAGCCGTCAGCCAACCAGAATTCCCTGACGACGATGCCAAATGCCGGGGTTGTTAAGACGACGCTAGGCGAACGCGGTGCTATTGGTCTATCGTTCATGGGCGACGATATGGATATCCACGACGACTTGGATACTTTATGCTGGGTTCCTAATATGTACGTAGCGACGATCATCTCTTCCCCGATTGGACACACCCGCGCGTCGTGATTCTGCTAGGTATCCGCTTCAAGTGCCGGACGGTAGATATGTTTGCGAAAATAGCATTGTGGGTGCATTACCTACCTAGGTATGTATGTGCAAACAATGACAGCCAAGACGCGGCTGCTCAGAAAGAAGATCGAGTCAGGGATGTTTTGCCGCGAGAGTCTGATCGGGCTATGGTGGACGGTGAATATCGGAAGAATGAATCTAGACGGACTTGGCTTATACCATGCTCGATGTGGTGTGTGATGTTAGATAGGTAGGTATTTAAGATGTAGAGACCCCCCCAATAATTAACAACCCTCTCTCTCATACCTCACGAACCAAACAATCTCTCAGCAATATTCTATTTTTTTATTTCTTTTCCTTGAGTCTTTCTCTATTCTCTTTTTTCCCTTGTCTCCTATCTGTCACTATTTTGGAAGGGTCTATCTACTATATCACGATATAACGGACGGTCTTTAGATTTCGACGTCTCTTTCTCTCTAGGGTTATACGAAACGAAACGAAACGGTTTTCCTACCTTAGGTTATACTTACTATCTTTCTGGGTTTTATATCTATCGGTCTTTTCCATCGCAGTAGACCTGCTTTAGTCCAAATACCTCGCTCACCCGAGGTCAAGAAACCCATTTCCCATCTGTCAACTTCGGTCCTCGAGCCGTCCCTCATTCACAATTCATTCCTCAACCCCCCGGTCGTCTCTCCCATATCCGCCGCGGAGTCTCCCTCTGCGCACCGCCCTCAAGTCCGACAGCCCTCGTCCAAAACTCTCGCTTATAACCGACTTCGAAACGAGTATCCCGTTGAGAATGCGCTTTCAGGCACCCCAGCTCGGCGCCCTCGGCGTGACCTTTACGGCTTTCCGAGCGATGCAATTTGCTTCGCTCATCGCTATCATCGGCATAACTGCCAACTTCATCAATGAAATCGTAACCTTGGAACGCGACGCGCCGGACGTGCTGGTCGGCACCCTTGCCGTGGTACGTGTGCACATTTCTACCCCTTTCGCTGAAATTCCCTACTAACAGCTCGGAAGGCAAGTATCGCAACGCTCTACGTTTCTATTTCCTATATTCTATACTACGACGGACTTCTTCCCCTCCTAATCGCGGGCGGGATAGACCTAGCGCTCCTCGTCGCGGCTATCGTGGTAGCGGTCACTATCGGAAAGCCCCTATCCTTACTTAAGTGCGAGCTTCTTCCGCAACCCGCCGCACCAACTCAGACGTTTACCGTGTCCATCTCGGCTCGCAACTATGCCTCAGCAGCTGCCAAGTACAATAACTACCTAGCCCTGATTACGACCGACCAGCCGCACTGCTACGAGATCAAGGCGGCCTGGGGTCTGAGCATCGCGCTCTGCGTGCTCTTCGCTTTTTCTAGCGTCGTCTGCGTCGGCCTGTGGCGCCGCACCAAGGCTACCGCCGCTGGTCCCAAGGATATCGAAGGTTATTAGGGGCGCGCGGGCGCGCGTGGGGACTCCGGGGGAGCTGCTGTAACTGAGAAATCCGAGAGGGGCTTTGGTCCAAAGCCCCTGCAGCAGAATTCGGGACCGACCGCTCTTGGAACTCGACTCCTCGCCGCCAAGGGTTCCGACCGGTGGATTCCCCCGCCCCAACCCGCGCGTCGCCCCCCTATTTTTCGGTCTGTTGACGAAGATACCCGATCGGTTCGACTACCTCCAGTCATAGTCAATGCCAATTCAGGTCCGACCATCTTCGGGAATCAGTCTTTAGGGAGCAATATTCCCGCTCCTGCTCCTGTGATGATAGCCTCATCAACAGCCAGGTCTTCAAGCTCGCCCGATTCCTCCGAGGAAGACTATATACCTATCATCCATAACCCGTCTCACCATGTCGTTAGCGATAAGAAAAGGGCGCCTTATCCTCTTATCGCAGTCGTCGTCCCCCCGACCCCTAGCGACGACGGTTTCACGCCCATCACGCCCACCCCTGCTTCGCCTAAGCTCAAGGATTACCGGCTTAGCAGAGTGCCCCCTTTACCCAGGGATGCTCTCGGAATATCAGTGGGGAAAATGCTGGCTCGTGCGAAGAGCAGGAAGGTTCAGATAGAGCACGGGGAGGATGATGAGGCTACGCCTTTGAGCCCGACGGGTGCTCGGGATCTGGAAATGCAGATGGCGACTAGACCGAAACCGAAGCGGAAGACGCTCTGGGGCGTGATTGAGGGATGGTGGGATTTGGGATTGCTTGAAGGGGGCAAGAGCTTAAGACGTAAGGCTTGATAGGTTATGTACATGAATGCCAGTGTAATGAGATGAGAAGAGATGAGGTGGGATGTAATGCGCGGTTGATGGTTGGTGTTGGGTTGGGTTGGAGTTGAGGGTTTGTTCTTCGGGACAAGTAATGGGTATATGAATTGGATATAAATCGGATATAAATAGTGGTAATAACTTAGGATAAAGCCTAACATAAAATAGGTATACATTAGCCGATATCACTTCGGTTGGTATGACGTCCCAAGTTCAAAGATTCGATTGCAAAAGGATAGCTTAAAGCTGAATAACTATATTTTAAAGATCGAGACAAAATTATTTCTCTTATACCCGCCTTCTGAGTATAGACCAAACGCTTCCCGCCTGTTTAAGTAGTCCATAACCAGTGTCCTAAACCAACACATCGTTAATACATAGCAGAGGAATCATCACCTACCCAACTAATAAACTACCTACCTATATAATAATAGATACCTACACGGACACACCTTATAATAGCCAGTCCTCTCTAACCTAGCTAGTCCGTCTCCTTTTACCATTTCGATTACCACCACCCAGCGAAACCAACCCCCTCTTCCCCGGCCTAGGACCCGTTATCCTCTGCAGGAGAGCCGACAGGAATCCCCCGTCCGCCTTCGCTTCGTTCCTATCCATACGCTTGTCGTCCTGCAGAGAATACGCGCTGAACAGGCGGAAGTCGTCCCAGGCCCATATCTTGACCTTTTGCCCTATGCGCCGGGCATCGATATAATCGACGATGTTGACTAAAACCCCCTGCAGCTCGCGTCTGCACGCGCCGATGGTGTCTCGCGGCTCGACGCCGATCTCCCGGCACATGTTCTGGTAGATGTCAAGCTTCTCGCTGTCGTCTAGTGATTTTTTGCTGCCAAGCTCGGGTATGGCCTGTTCGGGTATGGTCTGTAGGTGGCCGGGGCCCCCTGCTGCGGCGTCGGCGGGTTGTTGAGACGAGTAATGGAATTTCAACTCGTCCCGAATCGCCTTGGTGCGCTCTCTCCTGTACTCCTGGGACCCGGGCACCAAGTCCTGGGAGGAGGCCAGACGACCGAATTCATCGTCGAACGACGCCTTGTTGTCGGGCACGAAGTTGGGGAATTGGTCAAAGTAAGACTGCGATGCGGGCGGCGGCATGAGTCCCCCTTCGGCATCTTCTTCAGCCTTGACGCTCATCATAAGGCCCGGAGAGCCTCTCAAGGGCACGATGGTATTATCATCTTGCGCTAAATCCTCATTCCTCCCCTCGACTATACGGCTGGTGGTGGGGGGAGCCAGGGCATCGCCGACAAATGCTAGAGCGGCGTCGCGTGTGTCGAAACCCTTAAAAACGGCACCTGAGAACTTGGAGACCTGCTCTTCACATTGCTCCCAGGTCTCGTACACGCCGGGCTTCCTGCCGACTCGAACTGCGTAGTAACTTGGCCGCTTGCGCTTGGCCATCTCGTCTCTCTCTTGATAATAATTGTGAATCTGTGATGTGACTTGTCGTGTTGGAACACCACCAAACGCGTCGACGCGTCTCAATAAGTACTTTCTTCTACATGCATATCGCGAGGGGCACGGTGCACCCCGATTTGAGATGTTGATTGGCTAAAGCAGTTATATTGTATCTCACAACCAAGTTGGTGGCTTATTTTCGTGGGACGCGAGGTTGGTATTCTACAATACCTATACGCTTTCGAGGATAGTTCAGAATGACCTGTCGTATTTACACCCGACCAACTTTTACCTATACTTCATTACAAAATATCCCTTCTTTTTCGATCTACTACATCTTAGCAACTTGACTATTTGTCCTTAGCCATTTCAACCTTTCCGGCCAGATTCCCATTTTCCCGGGCGAGAGGACACCGTTGGGGTCTAGAGATTCCTATACACGAATTAAATGATCAGTTCCAAACCCCAGCCAGCCAGCCAGCACGGACAGAGGGGTAGAGCAGACTAGACTAACCTTTAACTTCTCGACGAAGCGGCGGTAAGCATGATTGTTGAAATCAAAAAGGTCCGCGTTCAAATCTATCAAGTATATTAGTAGTAGTAGCAGTAGTAAGTATTACTTGCAAGTCTATCCATCTCTATCTCCCGCGATGAATGGAACTTACCCATATGGTTGATATGTGCCCGATACTTGGCGAAACCCCGCCTGCTACCTTCTCTGAAGAGGTTACGAAACACTTTATCCACGCCCGTCCGTTGCTCTGGGCTGGTCTTATCGAAGCAGAGCATCGTGACGAAAATAGCATACCGATCGTGCATAAAGAAATCGCATAGGAAATCGAATCCTTGCTCCGCGCAGATGCCCTTGGCTGTCTGCGCCCATTCGAGCACCGTCTTCCCGTCTAGGGGTACGATGGGCGAGTACGCCCCGTGTGCTCCAACCGAATCATCCCGCCGGTTGTAATAGTTCACCATCGGTATATTCCACATGCTTGGGACTCCGACCCTGACACCACCGTAGAGCGGGGACACGGCAGTTGCTTCTAAAAGATTTCCGTCCTCGCCGGCGAACAGGGTTTGGCGAAGGCGGCCTGAGGGGGCTTTCTTTGCTACAACTCTCTCTACTTCGTTGAACTGGGCCTTGATGACTTCCGTCGGCCCGTAAAGTCCAAACTTCACAGTCCAGATGCCAGCGTCTAGGTCACTCTGCATTTCTTTCAGTCGCCAGTCAGGAATTGGCCCCTCGCCTTTCCACCAATCCGAGTGCTTGCCGAACATAGTAGCCCATTCTGCAATGTAGAAGACGTAGACCGTGTACGGTAGAGTGCCGTTACGTCGTAGTTCGCCGAAGACATCGACTATGGTCTCGATATGTTCGAACTCGGGCACGTCGAACGAGCAGGCCATATATGCTTGCGGCTGCGGCGTTAAGTTGATGCCCATCTTAGTCACTATCCCCAGGTTGCTTTGTAGGAAGAGACCGTCGATCGTAGGACCGAATGTCAACTTTGTTGTATGCGGAGAGGCCGAGTTAGACATGGCGAACTGACCTGTTCTGACGACATCGCCGTTTGCCAGAACAACCTCCATACCGGCTATATTTTCATGATGGACTCCCGTCGGGATAAATCCCATGCCTCTATCAAGAGCCTAGCAACGTTAAAATCAAGCTATCTCTCACTGTCGCGAGTAAGAACCTACATTGCCAATGACACTACCCCATCCAAGAGATGCCGTGCTCGGCCACACCTTGAGTTTATGTTTCGCGCAATATTCATATAGGTCCCCGAAGGTAACCCCAGGCTCAACTACCGCGTAGCTGAACTTTTCATTTACCTCTATGATCTCGCTCATCCGGTGCAAGTCTAGGGCGATACTCCCAGGGACACGCGGTGCAGGCCCTCCATACCTGCAAACCAGGTTAGTCCTCGCCTATTCTCGCGCAACGATTCCGCTAGTTAGATGATACCCTAGGTTCTTCCCCCTAGAGAAAGTCCACACCGGGATTTTATACTCGTTTACGATCTTTAGAACGGCCTGTATATCCGACACTGAGGATGGACTGCTCGGCAGGTTAATAGCTCGAATGGTGAAGTCGAGTCTTTCTAAGGAGGTGGTCCCTTACCAAGCTGCGGCACTTGGCACGCTCCTTTCATGTCCGGCCTCAGGGATCTCGTAAGGGTCAACGTAGTCCTTCAAGCCGTCGCCAGTAAACACAGCGTCGTTTCCCAAAGCTGACACTATTTTCTCTAAAGCTGAGGCAAAATCCTCTTGGGATACGTCTGGTGGTAAGACCGTCTCGATCTTTGCGACGAGCGGCTTTGAAAAGGCCTCCTCGTGAGCTGTCTGGTATAGAGGATCTGAGTATTTAGGTGCCATGTCGGTTGTTATCCCGTCTTAATGTTGCTTGGGAGGCGTAGTCGGGGAGACGATAGGATTAAGAGTTGGGCAAACATACAATTAATATTAATAGGATTGGCGCTCTTTTATCTTCGCTTCCTACCGTACGATCTTTGAGGATCACCATGGTAGGTGTGCGGAGATAGCAACGATGGCCCACTCGGACAAGGGGTAAGGGGTGCTCTATATATGAACATATCCAACTTCCCCAACTTCCTCTCGGCAGTTGTACGGTATGTCCACGATATTCCCCAGACACCGCCAAGTACCTAATGTAAGTCGTATCTGATCTCTGATGTAATCTAGAACATTGGCATTCATTTATTCATTTTCTTCCCGACCGAGGGCTTAATCTACTAGTTAATTGATGATCTCCTGATTGCGGATACAATATTAATACAGAAAAAGGTAAAGCAAAAATACCATTAACGAACTAAAACAATAAATAACGACACCGAACCGAACACCAAACCGTGTGCACCACCACAGTCACCACCGTAATGACCATCGTCATCACTCTATCGCCGTTCTATAACCACTACCACCAATCACCGAGACCCACGTTTCCCCATTCTTCCACTGGCTCATGCATTTTTCCTCCAGAGTGCTCCAAGCCTACTTCTTTTGCTTCAATAAATCTCTAAGTCTGTCACCAAGGGTGTTGTCGATTTGACCTCCAAGGAAATCCCAGCCTACTGTCGAGTTACGCTGCGGGGGTTCAACACCCGTAAGAGTATAATAAGCGCCGATGAGGTATACGAACGATACCCAGGCACCGATAATAAACCCGCCCTTCCTCCAATTGCCTACCTCTATGTGCGGTTTGGCAAGGAAATAAACACAGCAAGAAATCCAGAGGAGAGGAATGAGCCAGTAATTGGTCAGATATGTAATGTAGTCGAAACCCTTGTAGGCCGAGAATATACTCCAAAGGAGCCCACCGCACACCAAAACATGCCAAAACGCCCTTCTGGACGCGCCGAAAAGAACCATGAAGCCTGCCTCTAGCAGTCCGTACAGACCGTTCGGCTGCCAGAGAAGCGTGTTCAAGTGCTCATCCAGGGTTATGGCCTCGACGTAGTCGTCCTCTGGGTAGATCAAGCCCTGGTAGTAAACAACCATGCAGTTTGAGATGTCGATGATGCTCTGGCCTTCGACATTTTGTCGCTCATCATCCCAGGCCTCGGTTTTAGGATCATAGCTAAGAGTGGCTTCGGGAACGCCTTTGCCCTTGTTATAAGGCCTGTAGCGCGTGACCTTGGGGAACACGGCGAACTTGACCTTGGCACCGCGGATCCTGTGGTACTCCATGACGCGGAGTTCTTTTTCGTTCTGGGGGATCTGGATCGGCTGCTGAACGCGCCTGTTGACGCGGGCGCCCTTCACGGCGGCGTTGACGTATTCTTTCCAGACTCGATCTTCTCCCTCGTACAGCTCCTTAGACTCGCGGTACAGCTGCACGTCAGCCTGCTGCTCCTGGCCGTAGTCCATGCGGGCGCCGGGCGTGGCGGAGAGGAAATGGAAGATAGAAGGCGAGATGGCCATGCAGACTTGGATCATGCCCGCGTACGAGATTAACGTGTGTAATTCTTGTAAGAATATCGTTTTCGAGTACCATGTGCTTGTCTGGCCCGGGAAGACTTCCTTGAATACGTTAAGGAACGGTAAGAAGATATTCATGGTCTTGGCCGTTAGCTCGTCGACCTTGGGCCAGAAGTCTGCTGGGAGTAGTCCTCCTTCTACACCGTACCTCGCAGTGATAGCACGAGCGATCTTACGGTCGTATCCTTCACAAGAATGTGTCAGTAAAAGTACAATTTCTCTTGCTAGGCTGAGAATTTCTAGGGTTTCAATAACCTACCTTCTTTTTCCATCCACTTAAAGTCGAGTCTCTCTAATTCCTCTTCGGTATCTTCGTCCGCTCCGAACAAAAGCTCGGTAAAAATCTTCTTCTCCATAATCTGGCCTAGGATGCCAACGACAAGCCATTTCCGCTGCGTCGCATCATTTAATATGATGGGCCATCCGCCGTTTCCTCGATCCTCGTGGGCAACCAGGCGGGCGTATTCGGCAAATTGCTCCGTCATATTAGCAGTCCAGATCTGGGCCGGGTGACTAAAGTTGTCCAAGTTCACATTGCCATCAAACCACTTTGTTGCGAACTCTACCGTTTTGGTGTATAGGTTGGCGTAGTGCGTCTTATAGAAGTCATCGTCGTAATCGCCAGGGTGGGCTATGCGACCAAGAAGTTGTTCGAAGTCGATATGCGCAGGACGACTATCGAGTCTTAGCTCTTCGGCTATCTTATATCTTTGCGGGCCTTTTCTTTGGGATCCCCTGCTGCTTCGCCTCCTGTGGTGGTCATCTGATTCATCGCCCGAATCATCAGGTTCCTCATTCACGATATCACGAAGCCTCCACTCATCCCAACGTCCTTCTTTCTTAGCCGCCCTAACATGTCTAGCAAACGGGCCCCATTTGTGGTCGGGGTCTCCAAATATCCCGTGAACTACATATTCAAAGACATTTTTAGGGTACTCTCTGACATCCGTGTCTCGTGGAGTATAGAGCGCTCTACGCCTCGCTGGCAGCTTGCCAGTGCCCTTATCTCCGCCGTCTAGTTTTCCCGACATGTTAAGTCCGTACGCAGAACAATCTTCAAGTATTATGCTATTGTTGATCTTTTCAGTATGTAATAATAATGTAATAATGTATAGTGTAGTGTATAGTGTATAGTTTGGAGTAGAACCCCTATAAGTTAAATCGATGACTCAAGCAAGAATTGACTAGAGAAGGCTAGAGGTTTATGAGAGATGGTGATTAAAAGGACGCCCAAAACCAAGGGCTCGCAGAAAAGTTATTAGATGGACAAAGACGGACTCGGTATAATGGTCTTAGACAATAATCGGAATCCTTGGGACGTGATTGGATGCTTCCGTATGACTATTCCCGCTTTCAGTAATACAGGTGAAAGACGACATTCCAACGGTCGCAAGCAGCACTCCCGAAAACACGTTTCTTTAACAACACAAAGTACGGGAAATTTACAAAGTCAAAGTCACTTTTCCGTTTCGGCGTACAATTTTATAGATGCGCATTGAAAATTTCCTAAGCCTAGTCGATTCCTAGTCGATTCTAAATATAGGGGTTTTTTGTCTTTTCCGGGCTTTCGCTCTGCTAAATCAGCCCTGCTTAGCTTGCATGGAATGCGATATATTGGCCTGCTGGCTACCGTACAAGTTCATTCGAAAACAATTCATTCATGCTCCCATCATCCAGGTGCCCTAGTCTACTGAGCAGCGTGATACTGTTGAGCTTGACCAGGAACCTCGTAGACAGGTTGACCGGGGTTTCCCATCTGCTGGGGTTGAACATAGGTACTACCGGTGGGCTGGGAGGAGAGCGGCGACGGCGACTGCGGCGGATAGTACCCCTGAGGAGGCGGAGGGTGTCCAGCCATAGGGTTGGGTTCTTGATAGACTTGCGCAGGTTGAGGCTGCATCTGGAATTTCTCCCCGCCGGCCGTCAGTTCAACGCCGGCTCCTGTACCACCAGGAGCCCCGTTGATGGGCATAGCCTTGAGACCAGCCTTTCGGTGTCGGTGTAGCATGACACCGTGGATCGACAGTGAGATAATGTAGAGAAGACTAAATGATATTAGGACCACGTAAATACTCCAAGAAGCCTACATCTAATGACTTACAATTCAACTCCACCTAAACCTGCCGCAGCAGCCAAGCAACCGCCATACGTGTTGACTGCAGTATCATAATCGCTCAGGTCGTAGTAGTCGTCATAGTAGTCACTGTATGAGTAGTAATAAGCGAACGCGGAGGCGATTTGGGCAGCAAGGATGGCAAATGAAATTAGCCAGAAGATAACAAGGAATATATCTAAGCCGAGTATTGCCCAGTAGTTGTAGGCCTTCGCGGGACCAAAATGTGCGACGAGACAATAGATACTAGTGATGATGGTCGCAATGGACTGGTTATCCCGTCAGTTTCTTTCTTCTTAATATTGGTCCGAATTGTTAACTGTTGAGGTTTACATACGGTAAAAAGCGTCAGGGCATCTCCTGCAAAAACGAGAAAGACGATGCCGAAAGCGCTTAACCCCAAAATTATAATGCTGAAAATTAGCTGAATAATGCGGATGGCAACGAATCCTTTAGGGTAAAGGGGAATGTGCTCCTTTCCAGGAACTCGTTGGTTCGAGTACTTCGACTGCGGTTGCTCCATCGTGGCACACACAAAGGGGTAATGATTGAAAGAGAACCGCGTCACGGAGACTTGTGAACAGCAAAACGGCCACTACGAAAAGAAAGCTAGAAAGATCAACAGCTCAGGAAAGGGACCGTCTACACCATATGTACCCGTCGAGCCCTGTATGTTGTGGGCTGACACTCGTCCGTCTATCTACCAATAAGCCATAAGCGAAATAAATTTCACTCAACTGACAGGCGCAAGGGCAGTAAGATACTACTATGTAGGAGCTAAAGGCGCCCACGACAAGTCATATATGCAGTAGAACGCCAAACTACTACCTTGGTAGGCTTGTAAGCTAGGGAAGACCCAAGTCCATTGCTCTACGCCAAGAGAAGGACAGCTGCGAATGGCGATATCTGCGGGAGGAAAGGGGATCCGCCCGAAACACCTTGGTCCTCTCGAGACTACATCAAACGAGATGAAGTGCCACGCGAGACTTCGTAGTCGCAGCATATCGCTACAATATGCGATAACGGACTGCGCTGCGGCTGAAACTAGGGTCATGGATTGGAGAGATAATATGCAGACCCCTGTCAGCTGAAGGTCGAGATCAAGATATGGCCATCCTGATGTTTCTCCCCGCAGCAGCACGATGTTACATTGTTAGATAATATGGATCATCTGCCCACTGCGAAAATAGTTTATTAAGATGGCACTCAAAGACGAGGCGTCCAGCGCGTATGCACGAGTGGCAATAAATTTTGTTTTATTCCTTTCTACCAGGTAGTCTAGATACCTAATATTACGATTCTAAATACATGTATTTCCCCCAGAGTGCCAAAGGAGCTTTAGCTCCCATACCTGCTACGTGTGAAGTCTGGATTTTATTGAGTGAAGTGGCTTACGGCTGAAATAATAGACAATTTTACGATTTTTTTTGGTAGGTGGTGTAGCTACCTAATTAACGCCCAAGTTACGTGTATGTAATGGCAACTTGATAATACCCTTATCAATTCAAAGTTGTTTTCGGATACAGACAAAACTTTAGTGTTTAATTCGAGTTGATGTTACATAGGAGCCCAAGGCATATACATAGGTAGGTAAAAGAAGATATCCCCGGAAGCGGTAGAGTGTGACTCTACCGTATTCATACGATGTGGTATACTGTATTACTAGCCCACAACTAGTCAACACAAGCGAGATGGCCCTTCATTGGTCTATCAAAACGCCATAATTCTTGAAAGAGATTAGGGGTTGGGATGGCTTTACGCTAGAGTGGTTAGCGAATCATTGCACAACTAAGAATGCGGCTTCCTGGCTAGACAAATAGAGAACAGCAAGAGCCGTGGTTAGTATAGTTTCAGATATAGTTATACCATTGTACGGAAGTCCCCATCAAAAGTTTTGTCCATACGTGCCACCTGATAGCTTTTGATGCAGCTGTTTGGGATCTAATACCATGCGGTAGTTAAAATTATGAACGTATACAAAAATTTACCTTTTACAATATATCCAATTTTAGCTTCAATATGCCAATTAAAACATTAAAATTAGATCTTTTACAAGATCAAAAGCTGCTCTATACGCCTACATAACTTTTATTGTTTGAGAAGAAGATTTCGAGTTATTATATATAAGCGAAAGTAGTGTAATATAGATAGTACATGCGCTCGATGGCCTATAGCTGTTGCCAAGCCCTGTTAAAGCTGGTCAAAAGCTGTCAGGTGGCACGTATGGACAAAACTCTTGATGGGGATTTCCGTATATACCATTGAGATGTGGCATAAGTACTTGCCAAGCACAGCCAACAGCCCTGCAACGGGCATCTTGGTTTATTGGTAGGTAGTTGCCAGGAACCAACATGCTAAGAGGTAATTACCTTAAGTAGTCATGGATGTGTAAACCGTTCTACTATGACGATGTTAAACCTTGAAAAAAGGTAAGGTTCTATATATTAGGTAACTACCTTATAAGAAGGCGTTGGCAAAATTCAACTACAACCTCGCAAGATATACTCAAATATGAAGAGACACTGCGACCCTACAAAGCTACCTATTAAATGATTTATAGTAACTACCTACCCATAGTTCTTACTAGCTTCCTACGAAGCTGACCACTAAGGTCTGTAGTTGTAGGTAAACATTCTCTCTAATACAACTCCAATACCCCTTCTCACTCAACAAGCCTCAGCTATAGCGATATAAGCTGAAATAATTATTAACTGATCAAATACGGGAGGGACCATTTATGCAATCAAAAGCCTTGTTACAGCTGGTTAAGTTCTCCCCAGATGGGTTTTGTACTATTTCTTAGAAGAGATATACTCATTAGTAGTTATGTCCAAATAGACTGAAGTTTATTACCTCGCGTCACACCTGAACAAAGTATGTCGAGTAATAATTAACTTCACGGAAAGTAAAAACGGTGTTGGTTGGGGATCTACGTCACCTAATTAGGTTATAGTTGTAAGCAGCTGCTATAGTCATGAGTTACTGAAATAGCTGTTGAGGCAGTTACGATCGAGGCATCTAAGGAAGGAACGAGGCCCTCCAGGGCCAATTATATAAAAAAGCAGGGTCCCGTAGTCCTCTTAGATTTTCTTCTTAGATTTAGCAACGCACTTTAGCAACGCACTCGCAATACAAGACCAGTTCCACAAACGGAATATAAACAGGCATCCAGCGAGCGATGTGACTTGTGGACCAGTTAAGGTATGTGCCTGTGCTTGATGCAAATGCTCTGCATCATTAGTCTAATACTAATATTTTAGCATTTCAATAGCCTCCTCGCAGTGGTAATCACATACGGAAGACAACACTACCATCCTCGTCGCCATAAGACAAGAACAAGGCCATTCGGGAAGATCCTAAGCTACACCCGGCAGTATGAAGCTAACAAAGCGCCGCGTGTCGCCCTTATCTTATAAGAGCACATACAAAGCACCCGGGAAAGGGGCACTCAGTTACCGATCTATGTACAATGGCCCTATAACTATTATGCACGGAACGTATACATATCTAACACTCCTCACGCCAAACAATTCCTTGACGACCAGTGCCATCGACACGTATGAAAGTTGGCACTCCGGACAACTCTAAACTATATCCAACGCACCCACCAATACCCGATGCACTCGCACATCAGGTGTGTGCTCTAGCCAGCACCACACCAAGAGTATGCCCGGCACAAAGGTAAACCTTAAGAAGAAACGAGGGTGTCACCAAACTCTAACGCATCTGCCGCAACAGATATGCGTTCAGGGACCACGCACACGGAGCTTAAGCTTTGGAAAAAGTCAGATCTCGCGTCAAATACTGATCTGCTTGTTTCCCCCCTCCTCGGACCTCGACATCGTCACGTTCACGTCCCTTTTTCTGCGCCTTTTCTCCGCAGAGTGAAACGGTGGGGAGGGGTCCGGCGAGAATTGTTGAGTGTAAAAGCGCCCCTGGAAGAAAGTGACCTGGCCCATCTGTCTATATATATTTCTATCGAGAGCCATTCATCGATTTACCTCCCTACCTGGGTATATCTTCTTTCCAAACCAAGAGAAATGTCTGCAAAAATGCCCGAAGAGGAACACAGCCCTCAGAAGCAACAGCAGTCACCTCGCTGGTCCGAGATCGAAGACGGGATTTTGATGCAAGCGGTAGAACAATATGGCGTGCGCCATTGGGACGACGTTGCGAGGATGTTATGGACGAGGAAGAGCGCCGAGGAATGCCGGGCGCGTTGGGCAGTGCTTGTTCCGATATTACACGAAGGCATGAGACGGCGGGAGGCCGAGTTGGAGCAGCGCCGTAAGAGGAGCATAACCGTATCAGCGGATGGGTCACGCACGTCGACACCACGGCAGAGGCGTAATGGAATCCCTCAGACCCCGCCTATCCCTATCCCCATACCGGAATCCCCATCGCCACCCCTCTCGTCAGCATGGGCGCGAAATCGACGGAATACCGAACCAGGAGGAGGGCCCACTCGAGCTGAGTCGATGTCTCGTGGGAGGGGAGGAGAACGACGGGAGTGGCTTCAACCGCATCCGCTTATGCCGGGGCGTCCCCGCAGAACGCCGACAGCCTCGAGGGATGCTTCGGCATTTAAGGATAAGGATGATACGGCTAGCAAACCTAGAGAGTAGAAGGATGCTGGTATTAGGTTGTAGCCGAAGCTGACAATGTTCAACGTTGACTGTCACGTGGGTACCCCATATGTATATTAAGCTGGACCCTCCCTCATAGTAACTTTACCAACAGAAACTGGTGATGCCATTCTCAACGACCCAGACGCCATAGACCCCTTTGTCGCTCCGCAAAAGACAACCAAATCGAATATCCCGATCATGCAGAAGCGCAAAACAGACCTAATCGCCCAGAGGCGAGCCACGAAGAAAATGCCCAAGACAGTCACAGAATGGAAGAGATGGACAGAATAGGTAGACAATACAACCTTCTTATACAACTCATATTGTAATATTGACACGGAAAATGACTGAAAATTATTGAAGAGGATATGGCTGTTTTGGTGTCTAAATGACCAAGACTGGTCTTTTAAGATGATATGAAGGCTAGGTACGTTCGAAATAGACCTGTTCTCATCAATACCTTGGAACCATTTTAGACTAGGTACTCAAGTTATACAATACATTCCTATCCTTCATTCACACAAATTCGTAGTTATTCTTATCAAAAGCGAAATAAAAATTTCCCTAGTCAATTGACTCGGCATCCCATCCATCGAGCCCTTCTAATACTGCTCGATATCTATGCTACAATATGCCAGCTTTGTTCTCGTCCGTAATCGTCATCTTTTCGCATGACTACCACCCACCACCACCACCCCATGATGGCCCAGCCCCCGCGCGAGAGAAGGCCAATTCGGACTCATCAGTAGTAAAAAGACTCGTAAAGTCATCTTGTACGCGGGGATCGCCCACTACATCTTGCCTTCCCCCGCCAGTACACTGTTTGTTCCCCGTCCATTTACCACATAAAACGAGAATGACAACATAGTTAGTTGTAAAGTGAAAAATGAAAAGAGGACACAATTTCCATCCAACAATTCTAGCTTACTTACTCCGCTTTAGCGGCGGATCCGTATTGCCGGCGAAGAGTGAGGCGTTAATGGGAATCGATTAAAGTTACGTGTATTCAGGGGAAATGCGCCGTCGTAGTATCGACTCAAACCGCCCGTTTCCAAGGTTCCATAAGTATAAATAAATAAAAAATTGAGCTGAACCCAGACAGCTCTATTACGATCCGTCAAAGCAAGAACAGCTCATGGGGGTATCTCATCGAGGCCTGGTGAGAACAAAAAAAAGAATAGAAAAAAGCTCGAATAATCAATGAAGACTCCAAAGTCAACGAAATAGACGTAATGATGATGACGCTAACCTCCTTTATTTCGGACGCTTCTACGAGAAATCATCCGCTGTCGGGGACATGACCAGACGGTCAATTCGCTGGACCAACTCCTTCGTTTCGCGTACGATCTCAAAAGCGATAGGTGGTAACGTCTGAGTCCACATGCGCCAGTCCCGGTCATTTTCTCCGAGGCCACGAGCTGCGAGATCCTTGCCTCGGTCACCGGCCTCAAGCAGCCGTTGGCGACAGGCGGCCAAGCGCTCAGTCATATCGCCACCGTTGCCGCTTGCTTCGGTCTCGGCGACTACCTTGCCAACGACATCGGTAATCGACGTAATCTCCTCAGATATCTGCTGGATAGACGCATCGCCGCGGATGGAACCGACTAGACCTTGAATTGTCTGGACCATAATCTCCCTCTGGTCTTCGAGATATATCTTCAACTCTTCATTCGTATTGTCTCGTTGGCCGTTGGGAGGTGAAGATAGCTTGTTTAATCCCATGTACGCCATACCATTAGCGCCGCCATTCCTAGAGCCGTATTGATCGCCGGATTCTCGCGGCGAACTGATAGGGCTGTAAGCCGAAGAGTTGGCGCTATCACGCATTCCGGTACGGAGGCCTTGAAACGGCGGGGGCGGCGCGAGAGGCGATTCTTGCGATTTCAAGAACGCATCTTGCTGTGTTGTAGTGGTGCGGTTCGAGAAGAACCCGGTCGACTCTACTGGCGTAACGGTACCGTCATCGTCGTCTTCTAACTCACCGGCGGGCGTGGCACGTATCTTGGCTGTTCGTAGCAGTTCGACGAGAGCAGCAACAAGATGGGAGGCGGCTGCGTCTAGCAGAGAGACAGGCGAAATCCCTGCCCCGGATGCAAAATTCTTGGAAGCGGTGATCAAATTGTTGGCTGTGGCGGATACTCGGCTCTTGAGCTTCTGCTGCTGCTGAGCAACTTCTCCATCGCTCGGCCGTGACTCGTCGATGTCTTTCGTGATACGTCGGACGCTGACGATAACCGCCTTCATAGAATCGATTACCTTGTCCGGGGTATCCGTCCTCGCCCTTTGTAATAATTCATCGATAGCGATTTGGAATTTAGTGACGTGCACATCCTTGACGAGGCCATTTTCTTCCGTGAAGCCCTTTTCTTGCACGTATTTAGCGACATCCTGCTCGATCGTCAGCCCCATCGACGAGGCACGCATGCTCCTGAGCTGCGTCTTTGTACGCGCGTAGCGGTTCCGCCACTCTCTGACTTCCTGTTCCAGTTGTTCAACAATCTTCTCTAACTCGGCCTGCCTCTCCCAGGAGGGACCGTGCTGCTGCGAGAGAACCCTCATTTCGTCGAGGAACTGCCGGGCCTCACGCCGAACATTCTCTGTTACTTGTTGCTGCTCTTCGAGAGCCGTACGCAATTGTTCGTTTTCTCTCGCGATATCGGAATCTCCCCCGGTACTCCTACTATTCTTCTGAGCATCTTCCATCTCCTCCCTTAACTTTTGCGTCTCCATGACGTGGTCATCCCTCATCCTCTCAAGTTCGTCCCGTAACGAGTCGTTGAGTGTTTGTGCTTCGGCGAGCTTGCTCTCGAGGTCCGTCCGCATATCTTCCCACTCCTTCTTTTCCAAGTTCGAGGCCGATGTACGGGACCGTTCACCATCCATGAATTGAGCTAGGTCATCGTCTTTCTTCTTGAGTTGGTCTTCCATGCTATCTATCTTGTCCCGAAGCTCTCGCACTTGGTTTTGATAGTCATCTATTAACCTTCGGTCGACCTATGGAACACGAGTTAGCAGCCGTGGTACTCTGAGCTAGAACTTTTAACACTTGCCTCGGATGCGCCATTTGTGCCGATGCTTCTTTTACTGTCTCGATTACTGTCTCGATTCTGCGGCCTGAAAGCATCAACTTCTTCGTCGTTCGACCCGACCATATCATCATCTTCCTCAACCATCGTACTCTTATTAGGTACGATTGTATTGCTTTGAAATTGCTTTGGAAGAGGTCGATCAAAGTTACCGTTCGATAGCCCGGGAGACGGCGGTACAGGGTATTCGCCATTGATCCTAGGAGCGGCGGAACGAATGGAACTCGCGTCTGATGGTCTCCGCATACCGTTTGGTCCCCTAGGGCCCATGCTGCTTATGGGAGTGCCAGCTCGACTCGACGGTACTCCAGGATTGCTCATCCGGGGGACTTCGCCTGCGATAAATCGGGGAATTCGCCTTTCCAATTCGCAGAAGACATCTGTCGCGAGATCCCTAAATCTCGGCGGACCTAGAGTCGATAACTTCTGACGTGCTTGGTTGCGCTTGGGATGGAACATGTTTTCCGGTAATAAGTAAGATGGAGGACCAACATTGGGAGGCGCGTTGGGGGGTCTTCGACTATAGGCTTGTCGTCGCATTAACTCGTCGAAGACATCGGTAGATAGCTCGAGAAACTGAACAGACGATAGGCGCAACAACTTGTCGCGTGCCTTGTTAGGGGGTGGACCTGCTCTGCCATCCTTAGAAGTCGAGGACAGGTACCTCTTAAGGGCGATGTAGTGTTCTCCTAAGACTTGCTCAGTGCCTTCTTCGCGGATACTCCTCCCACTCTCGCTTCTAGCGTAAGTGCTGGAGCGTCCGACCGAAGGCGGCGGCGAGGGACCGCCGACGCTCCTGGGGCCGGGAGGGAAGCCATTCATATTCCCGTTAGAGCTATTGGAGTCCGGAGGGGAGACAGGACCTCGATTATCAGAATAAGGACCGTCGCCGTCGTTATTCGGGTATTTGGAAATACCGGACCATTCGCTTCCAGCGCCTACAGAGACAGGTGAAAGCGGCGCGTTTCGGGTATTCATGGTGAGTGTGATTGGTATGCGGAATAGACGGCCGCCGTTGCAACAATCAAGGGCAGAAGGAAGAGAATGCGCGCGCCACGCAAAAAAGGAGGAATTGAGGCTGCGGCAGATGTCTCAAGTCCAGCCCAGTCTAGTCAGATGTGATCCAATCTAGCTAGCTTCCCCCTTGATTCCTTGATTCTTATGTAGCTTTCGGCTTTCGACCCAATCGAATACCAGTCTCGAGTTTGGGGATTTGTTGTACTACGGCAATCCAGCTTTCCAGCAATTCTCTATCCCTTTCCCGTTCCGAGTTCAAGAACGGGGGTCTTGGAAATGCAGGGAAATAATTGAGAAAAGTATTAGAAGAAAAAGAAAAGAAAAAAGAGGGACGGTGTTGTAATGAATAACTATGACAAAAGACCGACACCCCGACAATTTCTTGTCTCACGGTGGGGATTGAGATGTAACCGGGGCTTAGTTTAACTGAGCAGTTGGTCTAAAGCGGAAGGCAATCTTAAGGCGCGACAAGCAACGAGGCGCAATTAGACTGTAAGTCTCTTGCGGTCGGTATTTGTGGTAAAACCTAGGTACCTAGGCTGGCTATAACTTCATTCCACGTACTGCTGCCAGACCCTATGAGAATGGAAATGAAATTGATTGAAGCAAGGGAGAAGAGCCTCTCGATAACGAACAGGTTTTGCGAGAAAGCAAAACGAAAAAGTAAAAAAGTAGCCCCGTCTATCAACCAGGACAAAGAGAACGTATGTTAATAGTGGCTCAAGGCGTCTCGAATTCCCTACGCGGAAAAAAAAGATTATGTTCCAGGGAGGACTCCTGCAGGTACTATGTACAGCGAATACGACTTATGCACAAAGAGTACCTGGATATTCGCGTGAAGGAGGGAAAGTGAATTGGTGGATGGTGGATTGTGAATGGTAAATGGAAATACACTTCCAAAAAGTTGGTGGCAGCAATTGAGTGAAACCTTGAAAAGTGCCCAGGTGGTTGAAGCAGCAGAGCAGATGGGGAAGGACAAGGGGTGACAGGGGGGCCTGACCAATGGAGAAAGGGGGCGGGGACGTGTTTAGGACGTTTAAGGTATTTGGCCGGGGTGGTTCCTGACTAGGCGATGGCTAGATGGTGACTTAATCCGTGGCTAGGCCACCTGCAACACACGCAGAACGGGGTCTAGCAGTTGCTCTAAGTGGTTGCTCCGTGGAAAGTTCATTAAGGTATCTAGGTACATTCATGGATCTACGTACACCAGTATGCACACTAAAACTTGTATAGAATTATGGATGGCCTAAGTTGTGTCTTGTTTTATTCACCATATCCAAATGAACTGACTTCATACATACGTGTAAGAAAATCATGAATAATGTGGATTAAATATAAATACCCAGGTATGTAAGTACCTAGATATACGTAAATGCATCGTATAATATCCTTATGTCGTATGTATGCTGAAATAAGCTTTTTCTTCGATCTTGGGTCCATGTATATTACACTGACATTCCTGTTGATAATGCAGCAGTGTTATGTATATATCCTACATAACCCATGCATAAATGTATTCTCCTGCACTTTTTCAGGGGGTTTTGTACCTAAGGGTACATACATACACATAGGGATACATCGTCCATAGTATATGAGGTAGTTACACATTTTTAAGATGAGAATAACGCTGCGCCATCCACTTTAAATTCTTCACTCCAGCCCTGGATGCTAAGGATTGTTAGTTATTCGCATTCTAGAAGTCCATCGGCTTTCCCCTTTCGTCTTATGAGAAAAAAAAGAAGAAAAAAAGATCGTTGAGCACGGCCTCGCGAGCCTCGACCGCCGTCAGCGAGATGGGAAGATCGAGACCAGGAAGATCGACGGCTCGCCTTCCCCAATGACGATACACCTCTTCGTGGGGTTCTCGACGATTTTAGATTTCCCCATCGGCCGGGAAGGGAAAAGAGACGGGATTCACAAATTTTATGGATTTCTATTTATTCTGTACTCTGTTAGTATAACTGGCCTAAATGTACCTAACTATGGAATATTATGCCGTATCCTTTAAGTTAGCCTGAACATATCCATATACAGGTGATCGATCAGTTTTTCATTCCCCGGCGGTTGACTACCAGGTTTGAATGGCTCCAGTCATCTCCCGTCGCGCGCGCTTCGTTGGCAACCGTACTCAAATTCCTTTATAGCGAATAAAAAGCGACCATTAGAAAGGTCAATTCAGCAGCGAGTATATTTCATATTGTTATCAGACTAATACACTAGAGGTCGTTTACTCATCTCATACATATGTACATGATGTTCTCTATGTACATATGTCGATTCTTATCTTACCTTGCTTCCCTATTTGTCTCTCTCTGTCTGTCTGTCACCGCTTCAAACCATGATGAGACTTAAACTGATTTCTCAGTTCTTTCAAAGGGTCGGTATTATTTCATCTACAGGTTATTTCTTAGCATCGACACGTGTCTATGAGTCGTACTATGCATAGATCGTTGTGGGGAGATGCTTGGTGCTTGTTATGTAGCTGGCCATTGGTCGCATCAGGCCTTCGTCATAATAAAAAATTGTCCAGAGTACGGATTGATGTAGCGGTCTGTTTCCTGGCCTTGGATAATGCGAACCGGAAAAGAAAAACCACATACGCAATAAGATATTTCGGAAAAAGAAATCGTGCTTACGTTTTACATTTAAGATTAGATGCTATTCCCATAAAGAACACCATGTCGTTCCTTAATGCCTTAATACCGGTGGGAACCTTGACAAGCCTCGTAGAGGATATCTGCAAACAAATCGACGTCGGTCGTCTTGAGGTCACAGATGCCCCATCTAAAAAGAGACCAACTCCCGAGTTAAATCAGCTCGTTACTCTTCTCGGGCAGAAGTTAAACGTATGCGCACCATCATCTCTCAATATAACCAATGCCCGTTACCCAACTAATAAGGTCGTCTCAAGAGGAGCTTCAAATCCCACACACTAATCATGATGGACTCCCTTGAAGACTTCTACTTGGACGAAGTAGAGGGCGAAAAGTGTATCTTCTGCATAAGAAGAAATCAATCTGGACCGGCCATTTGGACGGATATGATCAGAGAGTGCCGCATCGAAGAAAACAACGTCTCTCTGATCGAGGAGGGTTATCTCCACGCCGAAGGTGACGACGGTGGCATTTATCTTATATTGTGGCCCCTAAAAGAGCCAGAGCCAGAGGAAGGCCTCGCCGCGCAGGGGCCTCCAGAGCAACGAGATAATAGACAGTTGGTGGCTCCGCCAGCACAGCATGATGCTGCGGATAAAGCTATAGAGATCAGTAGGGCACGAGAAACAATCACATTAGAAGACTGTAGGAAACAATTAGCCTTGTGGGAGAAGCTGGATAAGGAGATTAGGAGTCAGCGGAAAAGAGGCAGGGACTTAATGGCAGCAGATTCAGCCCCTGAGGATGCTATTAGGGTTTACGACGAAGCGGAAGAAACCCCTCAGGAAGATATGGCACGAGAGGGGATAGCGGAACTTGAGAGACGAGTGAAATTCCTAGTTCAAGGAGCGTCGAAAAAGGCTGGGCTGGCAGCGCGGAACTCTATCAGCGGGCCTATTGGTGTCAATGGGAATCGGGCAAAGGTCATACGGTCAGATGGCATCACCGAGGTGATACCCATAGAGCATCAGAGCAACAAGAGACGGAAGATAAGACATACTATGTGAAGAGCCAAGTGTATATGTTACCGAGCACTAGGCTATCGTTACTTATATCGGTGTAAATTTGAAGGTATAATCTTCCTATCCGTCGTTTATGTATGAAAGCCCTTCGTGCTGCTATCTAAAAGCTACGAGAATGTTGGTACGGGGCTCGTCATCATTCAATAACACCATGGCAATTAAATGCTCAAACGGTTCTAGTCTAGATATAAGGTGCATTGTATCAATGGAGAATTTTGATTTGCAGGAACGGAGTCAAATTATTACCAGCACAATCATATAGAACTAGAAGAGCACAGAATTAGAAGGGATATATCCTCTGGCCACAACTGAGATATTACTATTTACTCCTTAGTCCATTAGAATATGCCATTTCCATATCCCTCCGCAGACGGCTAAAAGCAACCAGATATCTATCTGCGTGGTTACGACCGTCTGCACAAAATAAACTCATCCGATTCCGGGGTATCACTGTAAAAAGAAAAATCAAGTCTCGCATCCTAAAACCAAGCCAACGTCCACGTCGCAGGTAAATTCGGCCACCTCTCCTGCCATTCCCCGATGATCTCTGGTACTCGTTCATCAAAAGAGGCTCTACTAGCTGCGCTCGCCATATCGAACGCGGCGGGTCCTATAGACTCGCGCTCCTCCTTGGCGGCATTATTTAACGAGTCAGCAAGGTCGAGAATGCCTCGCCCGCCGATAGAAGCCTCTTCATGGTTATCCTTGATATCGACGTTGATAACATGAACGGGTCTGTTTAGAGGCGAGCCTCTATTTAGAAGGTCGTCAATGACGGCATCCCAACATCTTTCTTCGCAAGTGATTACTACGTCTACCACGCCGCCTTCTGTCCCTTCGCTTCCTCGGTCCGAGGCGTGCTCGGTTCTGGGAATACCTATCTGCCAATCTTGCCATCGCTCCGGACCCCACTTCACTTGTCTATTTCTACCAAGCATGTTGAGCAGGCCGTTGGCAGTATATAACCGGGGATCTTTCTCGTGGAGCTCCTTATACATGGCGTCGTACGACACCTTGTTGAATTGGTAGACATTGGGCTGTGTTATTGAAGGTCCGGGCAGCCGAACTAGGGATCCTGTACCGAAGGAGATGACTGGGTAGTGAGCCTGTGACAACCGAAGATGCGCTTCCATTGATCTCTATGGTGTTAGCATTTTTAATATGACTGTAATCGAGAGAAGTATCATACCTGTTCTGGTTGCTGGCGCAGACTGTGCAGAACTTCAGTTTGAATCCCCCTGGGTCCTCCCGTTCGCCGTTAGCCGGGGCAGCGGGTGCTGATACTCCATTTGTTGCCTCCATCTTGCTTCGCCCAAGGTCGCGTTCAGCTTAATTCCACGAGCTAAGCCGATAACAATGGTATTCGCATGCTCATCGAGAATCGGAGATCAAGCCGCACCAAGTCTATGATTGTGTCAATTCCGATATTATTCCCATAATTATAGAATAAGATTGAGGGAATATTTCTCGAGTAGATCAGAAAATGTTGCGTAAGGTAATAAATTGAGTGTCACCATAGAAAAATCAGACAGCTCCAATATCAAATTTCATCATAACAAGAGATGTAGTTACTACAAGGGTAACGAAGGAATGAACTAGATTATTTACTTACTATTAATATGGGTGTTCATGCGCCTTGCTGAAGAATACGACTCTCTTGTTGAGTTGGTCGTGCCAAAAGGCTGGTGATCAAAAGTAGTTATTGCTTTGATGTTTAATTTTGATGTTGAACCAAGAAAATGCTGGTGACATCAAATGGTGCATTGTGAAAACAAAGTGGCCCGGATGCGCTTGCCTGGGCATTGCATAAGGCATTCGGTATATTTATTAATCCGTACCGGATAGTACCGCCGGCCCGGGTAGTCCAGGTGGAGCCGATCGGATGGCTGGTCAACCACTTATGTAATCGTACATTTATTTCATGTGCGTTGAACCAATTAGGTACATCCAGGTATGACCTAGGTACATATCTAGGTACCTCTTTTTCCTTTATTTTCCTCAGGACTATTTGAGCATTTAGTAAAGCTTCTTCAGATCAGGCATGTTCAGATGTTAACTACGATGTTATGAGCATAACTACCTATGGTTATTACCGGCTCAAGTATTATAGGTATTCTATGGCAGTATGGTCATGTAGTACTTAGGTACAACTACGTGTACCTTGTATACAACCTTCGCCATTGGCGTCTCTTAGGGTTGGACAACGCAGACGCAGAAGATATGAAACAAACGACAGAATGACCTTTAACGACAGCGGTGGGGAAGCTATTGCCCAATAAGATGATTGTATTAGATGCAGCTTCGACTCCACTTCTGTAGGGTCGGCGCCCGACATATAGCAGTTCAGCAAAGTCGAACAAGTTAAAAGGGATGTTACCAGAAATAGAAACACCATCTCCAATTCTCCCTCCCGTTCGATGCAACATCCGATCCAACCAGGAGCAAGTCCGGATCGGCTTATACACACAGCGCTGGGTAAGATTTCAAATACGCCTATTTGTTTGTCTTGTTGTTTTACTAGTACCCAACAAGTCTTGTTATAACTACATAAAAATCTCATACGTTCTACTATAGTCTACTCTGTTCTTGGTGAGGCTAGTGGTATGTAACGTCCTTTTGTTTGCTGGGATATCCGTGTAACCTGGTTCACAAGCTCCTAACAAATCCCTACCGCGTTCGTTTTTCTTTTGACTTACATTGCATTGTGTCCCTCGACGAAACAGGAATTCCTCTCGCTGGCGTTCTCCTCCTATGTAATTCCTAACATCAGACCGCTTTTTCGTAGGCTGAAAGTTGTATATGCACGTTGCGAGTACACTACAGACCTACATACCCAAGCAGTAGGCGACGACGGATTGAGGCATCGGTTAAGGGTCACGTGTGCGGCACGAATCAACCATGCCAGCTTTGTTTCACCATTGACTAGATGCATGGTTCTTCGGGCTGTCCATCGCATTCGACAACCATGTCCGTAGGATTAGATGCGGTGTTGCTGCAAGGCGTGAGCGCTAGAGAAGCACGACGAAGCAGCCTATATACGAGCCTGGCAGTATAACTGTAAGATCTTCTAATAGATAGTTCTATAAGTTTGCATTATAACGTTCCTAAAACATTACCATAGGTAATAGGGAGGAGAGTATTTTAGTATGTAGGTACCTACTTATGGGTTCAACTAGTGTACGCCATATTAGGGGGCAGCCTCTGGGGGTAGTCTCTGGGTCGCGGGACCGTGCCCAAAGTATGTAGATGAATGAAAAGTGCCATTGGGCTGCAAGAAGCCACAGAGAATGCAACTTAATTGCAGTCGAACGGAGTCGATGTTACGCCCTTGTGCGGAACATTACAGTCAGCAATGTTACGGGAGGCAACAGACTATACTGGGTTTTTGTTGCTGTTAGTATAGGAATAGAAGGTAAGCTAGTTGTGTATGGGTAGTTATATTCTATTGTAGTCTGTTTATGTAGACGCTGATTATTAGTACCTATAGACCTACATGTAAGCAGGCATTTTAAAGGGCTAGTTATCAACAATTGTAGAGACATGCTTAGTTGACTAATGCTAGTTAGTTAAACGGTTTACGCTTTTGTGGCGGTATAAAGTACGAGCAGAGCCTTGTTAGGTCGTTTGCTATTAGGCATTATTAGTGTACCCGTATATTTTGGGAATAAATTCGTTACCGCTTGCTTGGTAAAACCATTATTGTTACGGTTAGGAGTCACGTAGTTGTTTGTCTCTGCTAGACACCTATGATGACTCAGTATCTGAGTTAGGTATCTCAGATGTGTATATATTTAGGCCTTGCTGCAAGCTGCAAGGCCTTTGATGTTCTGGTTCTCCAGAACATCATCTTCTTCCTTACTAACCTTTTGGTCTCGTGATAATTATGGTTCTTACCTGCGCATATGTGTATAGGGATAACACCTGTTGAAGGTACCTATATTACTCGTCTGCTCATACCTGTCTAAAGTAACAACGTAGATAACTATAAGAAGAACGAGGTAGTAAAAGAAAATAAAATAGAAAAAAAAAGAAAGGAAAAAGCAACCTTCAAAGAGATTAAAAGCTACACATATTTCTCGAATTATATATATAAATCTTGATTCACTCTATATCTTTCTTGATTCATTCCACTATCCCTATAGAGGTACATAGGCGACTCGGTCACTCGGGTTCAATGTTACTCGGCCGGCAAGCAACCGCCGGCGCTATTTCAGGCATGCGCCGCTCATTCACTGTATAAACCCCGCTGAGTGGTTACCAAGGGCAAAGAGCCGCTAAAGTACAGGGTCTAGCCAGTAAGATCTCTGTACCACGCGCTTAATTGCAACCAATTCCGGTCATCTTTGGGATCAAAGCTCCTCTATGTATGTAGATGAGTTTGCGCAAAAAGTTTATGCCTGCACCTGTGCTGTGCTGTGCTCTATTATTTTATTTTATTTTCTATTTTTTATTTGCTTGCACAGTCCTGCGGCAATGCTTTGTTGGGTTTGGGTTTGTCTCTGTTCTAAGGGAAGGTACTTACCTGACATAATGATACATGGCACCGTACTTCGTACAGTCAGTACAGTACCTCCGCTAAGCAGGCAACCAGTCCTAGGCTATTCCACTAGAATTATTTTACGCTCCTGCCCTGTTAGTTCGCTCAATTGAACTTCGAACCTTCCTTGAACTTTAAACCTTGGACCTCGAACCTTGGACCCTCCCGCTGCTGCGGTACACTACCTCTCTTTTGCATCTCCACTCCGATACCTTTTTTTACACCCTTCACCCTTCACCAAATGCACCAAATCACCAAATCTCCACAGTTCGTCCCTACAATACCCTCCCCATACCTTGAACCTTACCTTATTACGAATAATTTCCTGCCTTTTTTACCATCCTGTTGACCCTAGTCATCTTCGCGCAAGGCTCCTAGGGCTCCAACATTGAATTCGAATTCGAGACTGCGAGTCTTCTTTCTAACACAACTTCACTTGCGCCAGCGCCCACGACTTTCTTCGCGATACACTCTTTTCCTTCGCCACCTCCTTCTCTTTCCGCAGACATTGACGCTACAAAACCCAATTAATTCGACGACGAAACGTGATATAATATTACGCCAAGCTGCCAATATCAGTCATCTCCCGGTTCCTTGCATCCTAGTCCCTATTTGGATTCATGATAGCCTCTTTGAAGACGTAGTCGAAAACTTGCACGCCTTTGTTGTCGCCCCGTCGTAAAGCAGTTGCTTCGGATTGGGATATCGTATAAGGCCTAGACATTGCTAATATTACCGTTCTTCCCGCCTTATCTGATTTCCCCCGTCGAGGACCGTACGAGATCGCGGAACAACTTGCGGGTCGAGTTTGTTGGGGGCAACATTCATACCGTGTGTGGATGTAAATGCCCGTGTAGTCTGGTTGCTGTGCAGTCCAGCTGTTCGAGAGACGGCACACATTGCAAACGTCGTCACACGTATCGCGTGATACTTCGACATAAGATATCTTCTCTTCTGGGTACGCATATGAAGACTGCCTCGGTCTCCCTTCCTCGATGACCGCAATCATGTCCTCATCGTACTCATCCCCAGCCGTTTCGCCTCCAGTAGTTCCGCCGCAACAGCATACCACGAATCCGAACCACCCGACCTTAACGCCATTAATAACCTCCCCACCCGCGCGCCGATCAGCCGCACCGCGACCGATGTCCCACGCTTCCAAAAACCGACTGTCGCAGTACTCGACGGGCTCTGTCCCGTCGCGGTCTCGGCCAAATTCCTTTCTCTTCCCTGTCTTCTACTCCAGTCTATCATATACTACCGTTCGAGACTTTGCCTACCCGTCCACACATCCGATGCACTATGGCCCCCCGCCGGAGCCTTCGAGACCGCCCTCCGGCATGACCACCCCCGCTAGCGAGACGAGACGACTTTCGGACCCCCCTGCCTCGTGGGAAAGCAAGATCGGTTGGGATTGGACGTCAGACGGTGGGCTCGGGAAGGGTGGTGAGCTTGCCCCAATCCATTTTGGCGATGGCCCACCCTGGAGCGAGGACGAAGACCTGCAAAGCCCTGTCGTTAGCTCGCGGCACCGGAAGCACAAGTCTACCTCTGCTGTCACAGGGCATAAGAGCCGGGGCTCGAGGGATGGCGATGCGTCTTCCTCGTTACTTAGTGCGGGGGGGCTAGACTCTAGTAGGAGTTACTACGTCGGAACGAGTGGTAACGGGGGCGACAGGTACTATGTCAGCCAGGGCAGCGAGGCCAACGGTCCAGGCGGAGAATATGTCACGTATCCGCCGGATCAAGGGCGGCATTCTATTAACGCATATCAACCGTCGTCAGATCAGCAGCAGCCACGAAATTACGCTGAGAATGATACCGGATATAGGTCCGAGTCGGATGCCTCAAGCACTGGCTCGTCTCCGGGTTATCATCCATACGACGAGTCTCGATATTCAAGAGATTACCAATTTACCATCACCTCGCCAGACGAGGAAATGCACGGCAAAGCTGTTGCGTTGTTCGATTTCGAAAGGGAGAACGAGAACGAACTGCCTCTGGTCGAAGGCCAAATTATTTGGGTGTCGTATAGGCATGGCCAAGGATGGCTCGTTGCGGAGGACCCCAAGACCCAGGAAAGCGGACTAGTACCGGAAGAGTACGTTCGACTCCTTCGCGATATCGAAGGCGGCATGACGAGCCTGACCGGGCAGCTCGACACCGGCCTGGGAACCTCTAACGACGCCGACACCCCAACGCAAGCCGAACCCAGCGGGCAAGCGTCCTTACCCCAGACTACACACGCCACACAATCGGGGCCTGCTTCAGTGGGGAATAACCCAACGAACGGCTATCACCAACCGATCGTCTCGACCTTCTCGACCTCTAGCAAGGATCTGGATCCCTATCCCCAGCATCTGCTGGGTCAGCACGGGCAGCCCCCTCCGCAGGTCGTACACTACCACGGCCAACGCGGAGGCAGTCAGGCCAACACGCCCACGGCTCAGAATTCCTTCGGCGATATGCCACTAAGCCGCACTAGTCAAGATGCCAAACGCAATAGTTCGAATTCTAGAAAGTCGCAGACGCTCGATGTTCTACCCACCTCAAAATTGAAGTCTCCAGATCACGAGTCGGATTCGGAGGATGAGTACCCACAGAAGCCCGAAAACCAGTAATAGAGTGGCTTCGAATATGGATCAGGAAATGAGATCCATGTCGAGATATTAGACACATGGAATCGAACGATTCGCCTAGAGAAACTTGAGAAACATGATTCTCAGATATATAGTCGCAACCACATCTAGTTTCACTGCGATAGTTACCGTCGCAACCGTCCTCAGCGAAAATGGTGGATCCCATATAACTCAGGTCGCTTGTACGGAGCTACAGATTGTGACGACCACACCCGTCGTTTGCGATCACCTATTGACTTTTCGAGGTCGATGCGCTGGAGCTGCATACGAATGGATAATATGACAGGATTCTATTGAGCCTGCATTGGTGTATTTTACTCGCGTGGCGTACGCCGCATCGTGAGAATAGGAAGATAGGTACAGAATAAGAGACGTGATCACATGATGATCCGATCAAGAAGATAGGTAGCTGAATGAGAAGACCAAAAAAATAATGATCAAAGTAAGCGCTTAGGTATTTGACCGTGATTAATTAATAAGGGGAAATATTTTAGACTTGGCGATGCTTGATCTAGTGTAAGCTCAAGTCGTCTATATTAATTAGAAGTGCCTCATTGTTTTGTTCATATTAGTACCTTGCCTTGAGTCTCTGCTCAAATCGATCAGACGTTTAGACGGGTATTAATTTACTAGATTTACAAAGGGTTCTGAATATTATAGGTATACATTCTACTGCAGCCCGGCAACGTAGTAATTGTAATTGCAGAACCCATTAGTAGCATCGTTCGACACGTCCACGGCGCCGTTCGCCGAGGCAATAACCCGCCCGCTGCCGTCGATCAGCTCCATCTTCTGCGCGCCCGTCGTCATGCCCGCGACCGAGTTGTAGTTCAGCCCGCCGCGGACCGGCTGCGTGGCTAGGACGCGTCCGCCGCTCGACACGCGCACGCTGAGGCCGTTGCTGTCGCTGTCTGCCGGGAGCACCACGGCGTAGTTCACGGCGTCGACGGCGGCCCCCGAGCCCCGCGGCTTGTCCCCGCTGCAGCTGGTTAGCACGCCGCGGTACCAGAGGGCGCCGGCTTTGAAGGCGTCGATGAAGGAGGCCAGGAGCGGTTGCCAGCCGGAGTGCGGCATCGTGTCTGAGTTGCCGTACTGCAGAATTTCTGAGGTCAGGCCCTCGGCCCAGCAGGGGCCGATGTAGTGGCTCTCGCCGGCGTCGTTCTGGAGAGGGTAGGTATGGGTTAGTTGGGGTAATTCGATATAGGTAGGTAGGTAGGTAGGTAGGTAGGTAGGTAGGTAGGCAGTAAGTAGGATTCGGAAGATGTGCTTGCTGTTTGGCTTACCCAGGTGATGACCTCGGTGAATTCGGGAGAGACGGAAAGGATCTGCTCCATACGCTCGGGCAAGTTGGTCTCGCCGCCTCGGTACCAGGAGTCGCCGCAGCAGTGTTTATATTGGAGCGAAGACAGACCTGCGTTTTGTTAATATGTACTATCCTATCCCGGTATTATGTATATAACTCTGTCTAGAAGGGCCTTACCCATCACGTAAGCCTTGCCGGCGGCATCTGCGGCCGACTTGACCGCCTCGTCCCTCGCCGAAGACACATTCGTAGGTGTTTCCGAAGTCTCGGGCCAGGCCGTCTCCCAGCTGAACACGCCGTCGATAGCATCGCCCCAGCTCTGGAAGAAAGCCGCGGGGTTGTTGTAGTAGTTCCCGTCGGCCTCCGGGTTGGGGATGAGATAGACGTTGTTGGTGTTCTTGAAATTCCTCCAGGTATCGGGGCCGATGCTGCCTCCGCTGTAAGAGGAGACGACGGGTAGGTCGTTAGGCCCGTACCTAAGGTGGGCGGGATGGTCCTTGAATTGGTTGAACAGAGTCTGGTGTTGGCTGATGTCGCCGTTTCCGTAGAAGTCGAAGCTGAAGAAGAGCTTGAACGACTTGTCCCCTGCGTAGTCGAATAGCTGCTGCACGGTGTTCTTTGCCCAGTCGGCCCCGGGGCTTCCCACATTCAGGGCGAAGGCGTCAAAGCCAACGTTGATAGCACCGTCGATATCCTGCTGCGCGTGGGTGGTTTGCGAATCCACAGTCCCAACCTACATAGGTACACAGTTAGAGCTGGATTAGGAAACAGGTTGTGCTGTAAAAGCGTTTTTACCATGTAGTGAGCAAATACGAGCTTGCTTTCCACGACGGACCGGGTTATGAAGGCGGAGCCGGCAAGCAGTAGCGTCAGCGCCGAGTTGATTTTTCCGTACATGGTGACCGACACAACAGATTGTTAAAGGGTAGGACGAAGGGGAGCTAGAACTTGGGATGGGTCATGTTCTGAGGAGTGTAAGAAGAGGCGTTCTTGGTGACTTATATATACATATGTATCCAGAGAATTACATATGTCCTAGTCTTAGGTTCCATTCCAAAAAGCAACTATGATAAAAATACCGTGGTTTACCTGATGAAACCACAGCTCGGGCGGATCTCACATGTCATCGGTATGCGATATATTGCTAGAGGCGCGGTATCACCAAACGGGCCAGCCCCAAACAGGGCCGTAGGGCGGCTTCCACGCGGTAGACAGGGCTCCAGGCTGATGGGCTATTCCTGCACCATAGATGGATGCCGTTCGGGCCTTTCCCGTGTGCAGGTATGTTTTGCGATAGGGAGCCATTAAGCCGCCACCAGGATGCGATTAGGTATCATCGCGTGTAACAACTTGGATCATCCTTTCGAATTGGCCCCCACCCCTCCTTCTTGGCGACGTGACTTGAACAGTATGATAGATGCGATCGATTCGAGCTATAGCTTAGCTTGATTTAGATTTATTATGAGGCTGGACCCCTTTTCGGGTCTCGGGACGGTCTTCACGAGGTTTGGAGAAGTGAGATGCCATAACTAGAAGGAATAGATGCCAATCTTCCATGCTTGAATATTCCATGCTGGAAAGACTGTGGAGAGGGGTCCTTTGGCAATGGGGCTTCTCCCTATTTGGCAGGACGATATCAAAAATGGTAGTACTTCAATACGCTATTATTTCAAAGAAGAGAAGACCGAAGTCGTACGACGGTATTTGAACGGTAGAAATAGGAAGCTGATGTTTCTCGAGAACCGGGATCGATTGTCATTTTGTAGATCCCACGCGATGCAAGGAATTAGTATCTCCACCACTCTCGTCCAGTTCGTATAGACTATTTCATCTTCATCTTTAAACTTCTGACGCAAATTATTATTAGTAAATGCTATACCCCACAACTTGACAATAAGCCCTTGCATTAGTCGTTTTCGAGGTGAGATACTTCGTAGTTGAGTGGAATTTAAGCATCGTAGCAATTACACCAAACACCTTATATACCTACCTGTTACCTAACCTAAGGTAGCTAACGTAACGTGCCATCAGACAGAATACGCCAAGTTTATTTTATCAGGGAATCGTCGAAGAATAAATATTATCTTATAACTATCCGGACCAACTATAATTTTCAGCCATTGGTTTTGCAGAAGCAAGACTACCTCATGCTGTCGTTTCGATCGTATGGTGGTTCTCATATGAGACTTTACAGACGGGAGCAGCCAGCAAGTTTTTAATTTTAATGCTGGAATTTATTATTCGTAACACGACAGTTGTGTTCAAGCCACTAAGTACCTAATATTACTTTATATATATTACTAGCATATTCGCTCCATTGTTCACAGTCGATTCAGTACAGTCGCCATTATAGTCCCCCGGTATTGAACTCATTATATAGACCTCTTACATGCTTGTAGATAGTAGGTGGGATAACATGTTTACAGGTAGCATTATAATTCCATCATATGTACTACTGGTATAGAACCGACTTATTTTTTGCTTCCTAAAAATGATAGCCTGTTCCTAACCCGTACGGCAACCCTTAAGTAAAGGAACTATCACGGGGCTGAAACCAAAAGGTATCATTGATTGAAGATGATGATGTCTTCGCAGTGGGTTGCGAGGCCTTTTTCATAGGTTACCTAGGTAGGTACACAAAGAGATAAAGTCCCTGACTCAGGTACTGAGCCATGATGTTTTCTGGCAGACTGCCAGATGACCGCCAGATAACATCGTGACAACGGGCCTGCCACCTTCTTACCGCATGCACTGTACCTAACACGTCATGCATCGACGAATTCTACTTGTGTTGACTTCATCATCCTCTACCTCTTTGCCTCAACTCGTTCCAATAACAATCTCATCTTCTGCTTCTGCAACTTTCGTTCCAACCATATAACTAAGTTCGCAATGGCGTCGAACCAAAAGCCCTTTTCGTTCCAGGAGGCCATCGAGGTCATAGAGAAGAAGGCCAGTCGCAAGGGCCTAGAGCACTACTTGTGCAGCCAACTCCACGCTGTAACTATGGCGTTAGCACAGCGACCAAAGTCTTTCTCCTTAGCAAACTTCCACTGCTTGCTCTGCCGCACGATCTGGACAAGCTGCTTTGGTAAGTAAAGTAGTTATATGTAACGCGAATAACATATAAAGGGCATGAGCTTACCAAATCATATAGCCGATGAGAAGTATCCATGGTCAGAGGATTCCCTCGTCAACTTCATAGCCGCTAGCAACCTTCGTGAGCTAGTAGACCCAAAAGCGATGCGTGCAGCAGCAGACGCGGCCGGGTCTAGTCGGAACTTGAAGCTCGCCTTCGAGATAATCCGCACCAACGAAGTACCGGGGGCCCACGAGAAGAAGTCCACAAAGCCATCAGCCAAGCCTCCGAACAACGAGAACAATCTAAGATCCAAGATCAAAACCATTGTGGCCGACGTTTACAGAGTACGAACCACTCCGGCATCACAACCCGCCCATACTGAAGGCATCTTATCTCGACTTGCTGCTATCGAGCAGCGCCTAGGTATGGGTTCAAAGTCCTTCAAATAGTTATAGCGGGCCTCTTCAAGGTGACGCTGCGCAGTTGAGTTTCCATAAACCTCTTATCAGGCGTTGAGGGGGAGGTAGACAATTCTAAAATGGAGCCTGACGGGGGCAAGGCGCAGAGGTGAACGTAATATCGCGCAAAGAGCAATACTGCGGCTATATAGTTGGGCGATGCAAGGAGACCAATGCTTAATGCTTGATACCACGGAGTCAACCATGGTCAAGCTATTGATGACAAGTAGTACTCCGGTAGTGAGGCGTTCTGAGAATTGCTTAATATTATGCAAGCCCATTCTATAGACTATAATTCACACCCACAAGCATACGCCACGAAGGAAAGCTCTATGAACCTATTTTCAAAATGTAATGGGCGTTTAAATTCCGTAATTCTTTATAACAACCATCCCAGAAAGATATCCAAGGGTATCTTAGAAAACCCGCACTCACGCAAACATCTTGCTACTTGAAACCACTCCAGCGTCCTTATTCCCCACCATCTTCTCCAGTAACAGTAAACATCTCACCACTCCACCCATACGACCTAGCAAGTCTCCTACCGTTTACCCTCGCCATAAGACGCGTTATCTTCCCCCCAGGGCCCGGCTCGCGGAACTGGATAGCGGGCGTGTGTACCCAGCCTCGATCTAGTAATGCCGGTCCGGGGGTAAAGTGCCAGTTCGATCCGCCGAGCTCCTCGATCTCAAAACCGACGTGGTGCATGGCGTAGAGGAAGTCTTCCCATGGAATTTCCTCTCGGGGTGAGGGCTTGGTGGTGGATGGCACGTAGAAGAGTGCTGCGAAGACCTTTTTTGCGCGCGAGTCGACTTCTAGCGGGGGCAGCTGCTGCTGCATCTTTGCTTGTGAGGAATAGGAGCTGTCGACTTTACCGGCTGTATCTCCTCCGATATTATTAGATGGCTCGGCCCACGGACGTGTCCGCTTAGGCTTTTTTGTCAGTACATTATGTACGAGTTTAATCCGGAGCTCAGCCTGTCGGACTTGGGTTGCCACCTCGTCCCAGAAGGCATCTAGACTTTTCTCGGCCGCTCGCATAGCCTCGACGTTGGTCTCGTTAAGAGGTTCGTCGATGGGATATTTCATTCTAGTCAGAATAGCGCCGAGTTTTGCCGCGCTGCTAGGTAATTCGAAATTATACATGGGACCAAGGTTCTTCGCAGTAAGCTTGAATTCGTCGGATATTTCTCTCCGCGCGCTCTCGTCCTTTATTGGTGTTGTCTCGAACGTTGCTGCCCACGGTTGAAAGAGCCCTATCTGGCGTATACTTTCGGCCATGACGAAAATGTCGGAAAACTGCTCTGCCACAAAGGGCGTGAAGAACTTCCGGCCTTCCGGGTCGTGGGCGATACGCTCTACCTCTTGGACGCACGAGTTGACTCCGATGTTTTTCAGGTTGGCCGGGTCGGCCATCATGTGCAGCACCCAAAGATAAACAGCTTCTATCGGGTTCGGCTCGGTAGGACCGGTTGTGATGCTCAGCTTTGCGTCCGGGCCTTCGGGTACGTTCAGTCGGTATAGGGGCTGGATGGGCGGTGACCAGCGCGCCCACCTATTGACTGCGGGGAGAAGCTCTTTTAGAAAATGGTCTAGATGGTGCCGTAACGAGCGAAATGCCACTTCTACGTCAAGTAGTAAGTCTTCTTCTTCTGGCCATGCATCGGCCTCGATGGGATCAAAAAGATTTTCTTTCACCGCGGCGAGACGGTTAACTAGTAAGCACACGAGGTACCAAGTCTCGGCAACGGGCAAGTAGTAACTTAGCATAGAGCGAACGGTAGAGACCAGCACTTCTTCGCGGCCTTCCTCAGTCGCTACAGATGGATAGATATTGCCGTTGACGTCAAGGATATGCTCGGGGCGGTGATGGTATAGCTCCAAGAGGCTAGAGGCGAAAAACCCAGGATCTTCACGTAATGCCCATAGGGTATCTTCGACTTGAGATAGCTTGGCGCCAACGAGATTCTGAAGCCGTCCAATATCGAACTTGGCCGGTACGAGGTAAATAGACTCATATTGAGAGAATATGAGAGAGGTAGCAACGTCGCCTTTGTACTTGGCGATCGAGACGGGGGGCTTCGGCTCGACTCGACTCTGTCTGTCTTCCAGGTCCAAGTCGTGAAGGATTATCTTGCACGCATCGAGCAAGAATCGGTACAGGCGGTCCTGTATCTCGAGGATCCAGAGTCCTTCGCCGGGGCTTACATCGCGGCGGCGCTGCAACCGTTGACGCGCATCAGGGTCATCTTCCCAGGAGACCAGCTCTCCGTAAGTATCAGGACCATCTCTACCCGTAAATTTCATGTTCCACCCGTTCAGAAATGGAGGTATGCGCAAGGAACCGGACTTTATACCAAATACGAGCGGTTCGAGCTCGGCAAAGGCAAAGGTCGACGGCGGATTCCTACCGCGAGCGTTGAGCAAGAGTAAGAATGGCTCCGTCTTGCTGAGATCCTCGAGGTTGATATTGGGCCATAAGAAATGGGGCCGCTTCGAGACATTGGTGATGTTGCCCTCATTGCATACGAGCCCGGTGCATTGGTGCTTTAGGTGCGTCAAGTCAGGTCGATGCTCCAGAGCCATCGGCGGTGATAAACCCCAAGCTTGGTTCAACGCATCCCGTCTCTCAGCCTCGGATTTATTTTCCCATCGCTCCTGAATAGATGCTTCGTAGCGTTCGGCAATACTCTGCAGCTCGTAGAAGTTCTTCCAGATATGAGCGACCATGGGCTCTGCGAACCTTCGCACCTCATCGACGCTGATCTTCCGAGGCATCTGGTAGGCGATCATCGGTTCTCGAAACATGCCGTGGGAATAGGTCTGCTCGTGTACGAGTCCCTGGTCCTTCTTATTTTGCATCTCTTGCGATATTAATTCGTAAGCTAGAGTGGCGTTATCACCAGCCATTTGCACGATACGTTGCATTTCGTCGTTCATCCCTTCGTAAAGCTCAAAGTCGATGTTACCCTCTAGCTCGTTCTCCCATTCGGGAGAATAATCATATCGAGCCATCTCGGGTCCCTCGCCTAGACGACAGTCCCCTAGAGTATACAGCCAGCCTACCTGTAGCAGTGCCCATGAGTTCCTGGTGTATCGCTGGGAGAGTGATGGAGAGAAGATGATAGCTATGAGAATAAGCGAATACGATAAGTGGTGCGGATTAGTGTCCATGTAATATAGTTCGGAAATTTTTGATAAAAGTAGCAACAATTTCTCGTTCATGAAATATACTCAGTAAGATAGTCCGAGTAGCCTCACTGTCAATTATTTCAATTTATAATTCTAAAACCCATTTGAGCAATCAAATTAGTCACGTGATATGTAAGATGGAATGATCGAGACGACGTACATACATTGATAGTATGAACTATTCTTCGTATATTTAGATTTAAGAATCTTGAAAACGAATAAGACTAGGGGTTATATATAGGATTTAGGCCTGTCATGTTCATTACTCAAGCCACTTCCAGGCAGCAGCCGGGTTATTTCACGGCCAACATTATTCAGGGGCTTGTATTCCAGCGGGGACAGCTCCTGGGGTTGACAAGTCTAGAGCAAAGCGGCTAGACGAAGATAATATACTGTGTATAGGTTTGGATACACTTACAGCAAGAACCATCTATTATAGAATTATACTACCTACTTGATTACCCCGTAGATACCTTCACGATACCTGCAATCCTCCTAATGCCGCATTTCTCAACGTCCCAAAATATGCCACCTTCAGCGTCACCCTGTCCTTGAGATACGACAGGTCGACTTTGTCTATGGGGGAGGAGTCTTTGGCTAGGAACTGTTGGATGCGGTTCGCAGTCCACACTGGGTTCTCGTCGGCTATATTGCCCATCAGTTGATTATTCTCTAGGTATATAATTGAAGTTGTCGTAGTTAGGTAGGTAGTGCGGAGGAGGAAATATAAAAGGCGCTTAGCTTAAACTTACCAACCCAATGTCCCGCCTTCGGAATGACATCGACCTCCAGGTCGCTCGCGATAGGCCCGAAAGACTGCCGCAATATCGATTCTAACCCAAAACTTGCCTCTCCGCCCGTCGCGAGCACCGGCATACTCAGCGGTGCTTTCCCCACCGTCCTATTAAACAACTCCGCGTCCGCCGTAACAGACGCCGTCGCGAAGGGCCCTAGCATGGCTCTCAAGAACCCCGGCTTCTGGATGCTGCTGGCGTACCGCGTGACCGTGTCTTCCGAGAACGCCGTCGGCCCCGCGTAGCTGCCGTGGTAGAAGTACCACAGCAGGAACCGGCGTTCGCGCCCGCTCATCAGGAACTCGGCGAAGTCCGGGATCTGGAAGAGCGCCAGCTGCGGGTTCTGGTACAGATCCCAGAAGGGCGCCGGCGCCGCGGCCGCCTCGTATCCGAATCCCGGCAGGATGTACTCCGACAGGCCGAGCATCCGCACCAAGCCCGGGTACCGCGCGGCGAGCGCGACGGCCATCCCGACGCCCTTGTCGTGCGCGAAGACGTACGCGGAGCTGACGTTTAAGAAGTCGAGGACGCCCTTGAGGTCGGCGGCCGAAGCGGCGGCGCTGTAGTTACCGTCGGGAGGGATGCTGGAGTCGCCGGCGCCGCGGTTGTCCGGGGCGATGACGGTGTAATTCTGCGCGAGTATCGGCCCGATGAACTGCCATGTCAAGCTGAACTGCGGGTTTCCGTGGACGAGTAATAGGGGTGGCCCCGAGCCGGCATAACGGAAGTGAATGCTGACATCTTGTAGGGCAACTCGACCGTGCTCCCAATCATCCCACTTTACTAGATCGGCTGCCGTCTGGGAAGCGGCCGCTATAAGGGGAAGGGCTAATTTCGAAAAAAGCATGATGTATAACTATATAGTTAGTTCCAAGTATGACGATATCACCATGTCAGCTGAGGCTCTTCGGGGATGCGGGCAGGCGGGAAACCAGCTACGAGGATATCTGAAACTGGGCTACCGATATTCTTCTTCATCCTTTGCGAAGGGGGCTAGACATTTTATAAGTCACAGCATACGCCTAGCTTAGCATCGCCGATTTCTTGGATAATGTGAGTTTCCGAGACTAGGGGCTTGCTTACTATGCGTCGTCGACCTTAGGTATTCCGTAGATATTACGGAATAGTCGGCACATTATTATGTATGTGGTTAGCATACTAGGGTTAAAGACTTGATTAATAAGATAAAGATAGTAAAGCAGTCAGATAGTTTCCCCGTAAGCCTCGACACAACCCTTGCAGCGCCGAGCTTGGCGATGTTGTTCGCTATAGCGTTAGAATGCACTATTAAACATTCGCCTCCTTTACGCTAAACAGTACCTATTAGACCACTTCGAATAGTTGTGTAGGTATTGGTAATCGAATCCAAATATTCAAGGGTATATTCACTAGACATACCTACTTTAGTTTAGACGCGAATAAGACGGTACATTTCCACGTAGGTAGTCTTGTGCGAGAAAGAGTTCGGGGAATTTCTTTTTTATCTTCTTCGTATTTCGGCTCATTTAATCAGCTAGGTTAGGCAAGTAAATCCCAACGATGATCCTCCGCCGTTCGGTGTCCGGCCTCCGGTACCCGGTAAACGGTTATGAACCGGCGTACGTGACTTAGAGTCTCCTCTAAGGCGGACATTTTGGCCGCATGCCGTAATCTGGTTATCAAATACTCTTCTTTCCCTTTACTCTTCGGCGTTTAATACCTAAATATTCATACGCCTTATTCGTATGTAAATATGAGGAAGGCTTAGCATAGTTAGGTGTCTGTCTACCAGCCTTCCAAGTTCGCGCTCCTCCTCATCGTCTCGTTAGGTATATCTATCCATTTTCTCTATCATGTTCCCAAAAACCATGACGCCTCCCATGCGACAATTTGCTAGAAGGACTTCGCCCGTCTATTCGCAGTATTCTTCACGTAGCAATAAACGCCTTCATAGCCAATACTGCGTCGCCGTCGTGCGCCTTAAGCAGCTCGGTAGCCTTAGCTTTAGTAAGATCGAGCTCATCGACCTATAACCGCACCCCCAACTAGTTAGTATTGCGCTGTGTCTATTTTGTTGCACTCCTGGCCTGATAAACGGGAACGTACCAACAACGAAACGTCAGCAGGGTCGACCTTGACCTTTTTGGCGTCCTTAGCAGCACCGGTGGAGGGGCCGCTCCCAAGGCTCTGCATGGCTTTGCTTACAGCCTCCTGATCAACAGCGTTCAACGAACCGGCATCATCTCCGCGGGTGTCGAGACTCGCCATAGCAGCAGCAGCCTTTCGATCCTCGGCCGACTTGGCGGTAGTCTGGACCTCATCTTCGACGTCTCCGGATGCGCCCTCTTGTACGTTTTTCGGTTGAGGCTCTGCCATTTCGATTTGTTTCTTTTGTGCTATGATGTAGTGTATGAGGGATACTTGGTAGTTTTTTTTTTAATGTTGCATTGAAGGTATTTAACATCAGTAAATTTGTAACGGCGGCTCAGTAAAAATGCGGGGGAGTTTAGCTTCGAGCTCCCACTATGAGGTAACGTTATGTAACTAAACTAAAGTACCGGAGTACCTTAGTATATGAGCATATGAATATATACAATATACAAATAGGCAATATAAACATCTGCTATGGTAAGCTACTGCATGTGCATATACAGGGATCCTCTTGCATTATATTAAAAAAATCTTCCTAATTAAGTAATATTTGCTTATTGCTTAGTGGCTTCTTGTCTTTTTAGTCCCTTGACTCACTCATCTTTAATTCCTCATACACTCATAAGTCATACTCTTCTTAAGATTATAAAATTAGTAGTTAGGTACCTAATTCAATTCGTAAAAAGAGACAGACAACAGACAAGCATGACTCCCCCTTCAGAATGGACTCCCTCCTCGTGGCGGTCCAAGCCCATCAAGCAGCAGGCCGTGTACCCCGACCCGGCGGCCGTGCGCCGCGCAACCTCGGAGCTGAGCCGGCTCCCGCCCGTCGTTCATCCGCAGGAGATCGCCCGGCTCAAGGCGAGCTTGCGCGACGTCGCGCGCGGCGAGGCTTTCCTGCTGCAGGGCGGCGATTGCGCCGAGCTGTTCGACTACTGCCGCGCCGACGCTATCGAGTCCAAGATCAAACTCCTGCTGCAGATGAGTCTCGTGCTCGTATGGGGTGCCGACAAGCGTGTCGTCCGTATAGGTCGTATGGCCGGCCAGTACGCCAAGCCCCGGTCCAGTCCGACTGAGAAGGTCGTCGACGACAACGGCGAAACAAAAGAAGTCCCCTCGTTCCGCGGCGATATCCTAAATGGCTATCACCTCGAAGAGCGTGATTTGGATCCTCAGAGGCTTGTTAAGTATAGCTCATGTCCTTTCCTTACCCCTTTCCATAAAGTACCTACTTAGCTTACACCGCCATCTTTACTTCCCCTTAGAGCTTATCACCACTCGGCTGCAACGCTCAACTACGTGCGAGCCGCCATCGCGGCAGGCATCGCAGACTTACACCGTCCTCTAAACTGGACTCTGGGCCACGTCAAGGACCCGCAGCTCAAGGCCAAGTATACCGAGGCCGTGCGCTTCCTGCAGGACATGCTGCGCTTCATGCATACCATCGGTGCCGACCGCAGCCCCAAGCTCGACACTATCGATCTGTACTCTAGCCACGAGGGTCTGCTGCTCGAGTACGAGGAGAGCCTTACCCGGCTGATGGAAAAGCCCGTACTCCCCGGCGACGAAGAGGCGACCCCCGAATCAACAACGGGGAAACCACCTCAGATGGAGTACTACGATACCTCGGCCCACTTCCTCTGGATAGGCGACCGAACGCGGCAGATCGACGGCGCACACGTCGAGTTTTTCCGCGGCATCGCAAATCCCATCGGGATCAAAGTAGGCCCCACGACACCGACGTCGGATCTCCTCGCGCTCCTACGGACCCTCAACCCGTCGCGCGAGGTGGGCAAGGTAACCCTAATCACGCGGTACGGCGCAGCCAAGGTGCGCGAGCTGCTACCCGGCCACATCCGCGCGGTCGAGGGGTCCGAGTACCGGGGGGCGTGTATCTGGCAGTGCGACCCGATGCACGGCAACACGCGGTCGACGGCGTCGGGCATCAAGACGCGGCGGTTCGGGGACATCTTCGACGAGCTGCGCGAGACGCTGCGCGTGCACCGCGAGGAGGGCAGTTACCTCGGCGGCGTGCACCTGGAACTAACCGGCGACGCCGTGACCGAGTGTCTCGGCGGCAGCGAGGGCCTCGACGAGGACGATCTGTCCACCAACTACACCAGCTTCTGCGACCCCCGCCTCAACGAGAAGCAAGCTCTCGAGCTTGCGTTCCTGGTGGCGGATTCGTTCCGCCAGGAGAGGAAAGACCTTCTTCTCCACCATTAGAAAGGTACCTACCTAGCGAACGTGAAATATAAGAAAGTGAGGAGGGTAGGTATCTATTTCATGTACCTTCGAGCCAGCTAGATTTCCAGGTAGCCGTCATTCATAGCATAGACAAGAATACGGAAGAGGGGAACCAATATATAAAAAAATGAACAAGTTAAAAGACATAATAAGCAAGACATGGCATGGCGTAGGAAAAGGATTTTCAGCGGTCCACGGGTTTCATTTACAAAGGGAAGAGCTGCATAGAAAAGGTAGCTGCTCACATATTGTGTCAAGTGAGGAATATGAATAAATATAGAAAAGTCCGTCGTTTTGTCAAGATACTCCGCGAGTAAAGTGCCTTTGTATGTAAGTACCTAACCAATCGTTTATTTTTTTATTTTTCTTGTAATATAACCGAGCTAGTCCCAATTATAATAGCCAAGTGCAGTAGATAAGAAGGTATATAACCTAGCCTATCACAACAATACCAATAATACACTAGCAGAAAATCATCTGTTACGAAGCGAAGCTATCGTGAATTACTAGGTACTATATACTCCAAGAGGCGCGTGGGTAAGCAAAAGTGCCATACCACACCACGCGCCATAAATAACCAATACGGTAACCCCTTATACGCGCAAACAGCACGGGTACCTCAGGTAAGTAAGTAAGTTACTAGCTACATGTAGACATTAAGCTAGGTAGATCGTTCAACCCCAATGCATAAAAAGCCCTTTGAAGCAACCGTCATGCACGCCTATTTGCCCACACAGTAGGACCCGTCCCATCCACCAACGCCTGCCCAAGCCGGTGAGCCTATCCCTCCGAAGCGAAATGCGTCATAACCGCCCCCGTGCCAACAACCAATGCCAGCCTATCCAGCCCGGTCCCGTTCCTCTTTTAACGCCGGCCGCAGAAAAGATACCAGGGAGTGCGCAGAACCGTGTATCAGTCAGCTCCCTAGACAAAACAGATTATCTCGAATCAGATGCTATCAGCCCTAGTTAACCTAAACCCCAAGCCCTCATCGTATATGTGGGTGGAAATCAGCAAAATCGACCTGTTTATTTCATTACGGTCACGTCGGTGTCTCTTCAAAATCGTATATCTCCCTAACGGGTGAGCTTCTCGCGCCCACCTTCTCGAGTTTCTGCACGTTCTCTTCCGTCAACGAATCGCCACCCGGGAATGAGTGGGACATAGGCGGCTGTCCTGCCGTGTTCTTGCCGTTGCTATCATCTGCGGCGTCGATGAGCTTATCATCTCGCAGCTGCATAGCCAGCTCATCACTGTTAAGCTGCCTAGATGGCTTAGATATCCCAAAGGGGAATGTATTGATCTCGTGCGAGCCCGCCCGCGCGTTGGTCGGTCTCGGTGTTAGTAGATTTGTGCGGTCGTCTTCCCCGGCGCCATCTAGACTGCCTTGCTCTGGACGCTCCTCTGGCGTTTTCGGATTCTGACTGGAGACGCCATACGTGGCTGGTGTAGGTATGTCGGCGCTGATACATCCGCCCGCGGAATCCGAACAGTCCGAAGTAGACGGGTCGGCTGAGGAAGACGAGATCGACTCTACCTTGCGGCGGGATTTACTCCACCTCACTAGCATCCTTTCAAGTATATTGCTCTTCACAGGCTTAGACAGGTAGTCATCCATACCGGCTTTCGTGCACTTTTCTCTGTCTCCTTGTATCGCCGAAGCAGTCATGGCCACAATGGGCACGTCATTAGTGTAGCTCTTGTATGGTACGTGGTGCCGCAGTATGTGCGTGCACTTATATCCGTCGATCACGGGCATCTGTACGTCCATCAGGATGATATCTGGCTTAACGAACCTTCCCTCCCTGCACGCCTCGAGATATTCAAGCGCTTCCTTGCCATTCCAGGCCGCACAAACGTTGAAGCCAAGTTTCCTGATAGTCTTAGTTGCGATCTGTTGGTTGACCGCGCTGCATAACACCGTATTAGAAAAATTGAACTCGTCAGCTAATCTCAAACTTTTGAACTCACTTATCCTCGACAACAAGTATTTGCACCTTGGCACGTTCGGATCTGGGGAGGTCTTCGCTTTCAAAAGCGAACGGCGCCAGTAAATTAGCAGGTCTCTTTCGATGCCGCCTGGGCTTATCTAGCGCGCCCTGTAATAGGTCTGCCGGCGGCGTTCCTAAGAAATATTCATGTTCCGAACTATTACACGAAACGCTCATCTCGGACTGTAGTCGCTCGGGTAGGCGACCAATATCGACGAGCGCATCCCTCTGCGGAGTCTGCGGTTTGTTAAATGGTATCCAGAATGTCGCAGTGGTGCCATTGCCGATCGTGGATTCCAGCGTAATCCTTCCACGCATTAGATCGACCAGATTCTTCGAGATCGTCAATCCCAACCCTGTCCCTCCAAATTTCCTAGCTGTAGAGGGGTCTCCTTGGCTAAATGGCTGGAATAGACGTTTCAGAACGTCTTCTTCGATTCCGATACCAGTGTCCTCAATAACGAATTTTATCTCAATTACGTCGTTTGTCTCTTTTTCTTTCCATACAGAGAATTTAACGTAACCACCGCTGGTGAACTTGATGCTGTTAGTAAGTAGATTCGTAATAATCTGCCGGACGCGGCCCGGATCACCAAGAACTACGAGGTCGTTCTCGATGTCGTTCGATATATCAGAGCGAAAATCCAGATTCTTCCTCCCAGCTGCGAAACTCAGCATCTTAGAGACATCTTGCACTACCACGGAGAGGGAGAACTGGACTTCTTCGATATCGAGGCGGCCAGACTCGACTTTAGAGAAATCCAAAATGTCGTTGATGACGGTTAATAAGGCATTCGCGGACCGACTTAGGTTCTCTGCATATTCCCGCTGTTCGTCGTCTAGAGGCGAGTCTAGAAGAAGCTCAGCCATCCCTATTACGCCGGTAATCGGTGTTCTAATTTCATGAGACATCTAATCGTACGTCAGCACTTCCGAGATCACCGAAAACGCAAGACGCCACCTACATTTGCTAAGAATTGGCTCTTTAGGCGGCTTGCTTCTTTGGCTGCTGCTTCGTTGGCTTTTAATTGTCTCTTCTCTTTGACCTGCTCTTCCAGATCTTGCTCTCGCTTTTTTAGTTCGGTAACATCCATAACGACGCCAATAGCGCCTTTGATATCGATTTTACTAGTCCGACCATCCTGCGAGGTTTTCTCGATGTGAGGCAGAAACCTAGTGCGGTAAAACCGATCATCTATACGCTTATTAGCAGACTCGTAAGGTTGGTCGTACATAATATAACTACCTAGCTTGTGTTCGTGTACGGTCTCTGTTGTCAGCTCACCAGACAGTATACGTCTTACGGGTTCGAGGAATGCAGAAAACTCGCTCGGAAGTAGGCTCGGGTTTAGGCTCATAAACACTTCGTCGATATATTTTCCAACATATGTCGGCGGATCATGCCGGTTAGCATCATCGCTTGCTGTATTGTCCTTCCCCGAGATCCAAGACACCGCGCCTTCCAACATCGTCAGCTTGAGGTCGAGATCTACAGAGAAGATCGTTGTCTGCGCATGCGTAAGGACGCTAAGAAGTTGCGCTCTAGTTTGCTTCGCGGCCATCTTCGCTTCAAGGGCCTCGTGAACGTCCGTAAAAGTCCCAAACCATTTTTCGATCCGACCTGTGCGTTTATTTCTCAGCGGCAACGCACGTCCTAGCATCCACCTCCACTCACCATCCTTGCTACGGCATCGGTATTCGGTAGCGTAAGCTTCCCCCGTAGCTAGGCTATGCTCCCATCGTTTCCATGTGGCAAGCATATCGTCGGGGTGGAACGGGTTTTTCCAACCGTGACCCAGGGAATCTTCAACCGACAGACCCGTATAATCGTACCAGCGACGGTTAAAGAAATCAGGTACTCCGTTAGCTGTGGTTGTCCAGACCATTTGAGGCATGGTGTCGCATATTAGTTTGAACCTTTCCTCGTCCGCGACCTTTATATCCGTGATCTCCTGGGCTAGATGAGTTACGTCTCGGCAAGTTATAATACCAGCAATGACTTCTCCAGTCTCGTCGCTAGTAATCAGTTCGCCCAGCACGTCGTATACAATTTTAGTTTCTTTCGTCCTGTCATGCATGCCGATTCTCCACGCAGAAAATGGTTTTCGATCTCGTAAAAGTACGGCAATGGGAAGCTCAGACGGGGCATACTTTCTTGTAAAGTCTCCGTCCCAAATCTCGCACCGAGACAGCATATCGTTTCCATCGTTACACTCCTCTCCGGTGACGTTCTTAAAGAGGTCTCGGGCTGCTCTATTCATAACTGGGGCACTACCGTCCACCCACATAGACAATATCGGTGTTTCGGTCTTATCGAGAAGCGCATCCTTAATAACAATCATCTTCTGGAGGTACGACGGAGTGCTTGACGGAGGCAAACGGGACGGGGGCCCCATAGGTGGAAACAGGCTTGCCGAGACCGAGACCGAGCTAGGACTATTGGTGAATGAGGGAGAGCTGGAAGAGTGACCGGAGCCGAGAGAAGGGGGGTTAGAATTTAGGATGGATTTACGCTCAGCGGCCTCGAGCGTAGAAGGTCGGGCGACACGAACTCGTCTACTCGGGATGGACGAGGGTCCCGAGCCTGTATTGGTGAAGGTCAAAGTATAGTAGGTCTGATGGTTTTCAATCTCCCATATCGTAATTATCATCTTGGCATATGTCTGAAGCTCAGCTCGCTTCGATTTTGGCATTTCCGATAAGTTTATACTCTTGGGGAGCACCACGACATCAACAACAGAATCTGTTGCCGGCTTGCCCAGATTGCCACAGGGCGGCTCTACTTTCGCACCGTCTGCCGTACCTGCGGCCTCTCCATTGGCTCCATTGGCACCATTGGCATGATTAGTATGCGATGCCGGGCCTCCTGTTGCCTGCCTCGCGCCCATCTCGAGCACTAATTCATCCAAGAAATAGTCCCACGAAACCCAGACCGGTCTACCATCCTGCACCATGTCGATGCCGATCTGCGAGAGAGTCTGCCCGCGGAGGGACTCGCAAATTATAGCCGGGTCGTCCATCGGTGGAGGCGAGTCGCCCACCATGCCTAACATCTTTCCCATAGCTTCGTTTGCTAGGACAACAGTCTTCAGGTTATTTAGGACCAGCAGAGGCACGGGTAAAAATTGCATAGCGGAGAAGGCGAGCTGGCCGGGGGATATGAAGGGCATCGTCAGTCTCAGAGGACTAGCTGAAGCGGATCGCTTTTCCTTCATCGGCGACATGTTATGGTTATCTCGCAACAAGCGATTGGTACTAGCGGAGAGAGGGTCGCCATCCCAAGGGAAATAAGACTGCTCGGTTGAGCAGGCGGGCGGCTGATAGTTGTCGTCGTTGTCGTCCGGGGTCCGATTCGGCAGCGGGAGGATCTCTGGAGGAGACTCTGGAGGAGAGGGGGATTCCGGGATCGTAGATATGGGGGGCATAGGACTCGGGGTGCTCAAGGCATCTAGAGGCGTCATATCGCCGGAGCAGAGGGCACGAATAGAAGAAGGCCCATGAGCTACAATATACGGTCGATCGGTCGCTAAGGATTAGAGGGAGGGAGAATGAATCCGGCAGGTGAGTTATTAAGGTTTTACTAGTCGGCGGCCATGAATCGAGCTGCAACATTCGCGAAGTCCTTACGCAAGGGGCGAAGTAAAAATAAGTTACCTCTTTGCCTCTCTTAGGAGCACTGGTTTTGTTTTGCCTTCTCTTCCTTCTTCCTCTTAGAAGAGCTGTTGCAGGAAAACCAGTGGACGCCAGCTAGCAGCAAACTAGCACACCAATAAGAAGGGCTATGAGAAGGGGGCTATGGCAAGAGGGCCTCGAACGTTCGGTGACACTAAAGAAGAATTACGTTTGTTTGTTTTCTTGCAAGTATTGTAAGATCCGCTAACTTCCACAGGTTGTATTTAGATGTATTTGGACTTTGGAAATATAGAGATATAGAGATATGGAGATATAAAAATGTAAGCGAAGAAGCAAACGAGCAAGTGGGAGATGCTAGTGTACACCGCGGTCCGTCTAAGTTAGGTTAGGGCAGCCCGAATTAGAGAGGGGGGGTTATCATGTGTAATTAGAGGAGACCTAGTTATTCGGGTCAGAATGCAGAATGGGTAGAATGTGTGAAATTCAATTAGGTTAGGTTTGCTGGAGTCCATCCATGTGGGAAAGGAAAAAAAAAAAAAAAAAAAAAAAAAGAACGGGCCATTGTCGGTGTGTGACATTAACGACATATTTTACACTAGAGACGGACGCATGCGCCTCAGATCACAAGGTTCCCGGGTACATACGTAGGTTAGGTAAGATACATAGACATAGAAGTACCTACCTAGGTAGCTAAAATACAGTAGCTACTACCTAAGATAACAAGTGAATTGTTCAAATTGTCCACTGGAATTGCCACATTGTCCATGGAAATAACGGGGAATGCTCGTTTGGAGTGCCGTGTTCCAGATCGTTATCAGTTAGAACCTTCCTTGTAAGCTTCTGCTGTACAAGAGCAACCTAGTTTTTAGAGGGGTTTCCTGAGTGCGATCTCGGTGCATCGTAGTCTAGGTACATGTATAGATTAGAGATTAGGTAGATTTCGAGGTGTAAGGGTGTATTACCTCCTATGGTAAGCTCTTTACTAAATGGCTATACTGTACTTACCTAATTCAAAACTTCTAAAACGCAATACCTACCTAGACCCAATTCACCAGCAAATGTCAATCAATTAGGGGTTCTTGTCTTAGCTGAGCAAATAGTCGACGATCATTAAGCTAATTAGGAATCCGGAGTGGAATCCGTCAAGGGTCCTATGGTAAGGCGCTACACGCTACATACCTACACTATACTAACTACATGTGTGGTGCCGAGTACCAAGTACCAGTTATAGCTACGTAATGTACCTAATGGATGTACATGCTGTAGGTATTTCGTATACCCGTCGCGTTTCGCACTGTGATTGGATAACTGATAAAGGTACGTAGGCTATGATACACCTTTAAGAGCTAAGGTAACCTTAACAGCCACCAATTATATCAAGTTATATAGTTGGATATCTCCATTCTTTACAGGGAATACTATCCAATAATCTTCAAGGAACTAAATCTCGGTGGCTTCAATCTTAGCCACTTACCTAGGTATTACACAACAACGCGGAGGCGACTGCTGCTACATCGAAAGCAGCCATCATAGATTTCTATCCCCTCGACTGGCATTCAACTGCGCAATATTAAAAACCTGTACAATACCTACGCAAGGCTTTTTTAGAAGAGAGAAAATGGCTGGTGCGGTGTTAGGTTAGCCAATTATATCTGCTGGTTGTAGCTTTAGTGTATGATTTCGAGAGAATGACGAGTACCTATAGTGTATTGTACTTAGGTACTAGGCTTGGCGTAGTTACGTAGATCGATCAATAGTTGCAACGGCGGCCAACGCCACGCGGGATCCGACCCCAGAATGACGTTGTGGGACGATAAACTTCCGAGAAAGTGCTTCACACCATTGAAGGTACCGATGGCATGCGGCTGTTGGGGGTCGTCCAGCCTTATGCGGGATCGGCGGTTTGCCTTGTTCTAAAACCCCAAATAGGTATATAATAGTAAGCAAGGTACCTGATATTTACAGTATTTACAGTATTTATACTGCATCGTGTATCCGTCATATTTCGAGCTGTTAGGTCATGTTGCGTCGTTGTGGCTTATACACTATCTTAGGTAGCTGCTTAGGTTAAGTAAATTCTACATATCAGATATCAATTATGTAGTACTCGACATAACCTAAAAGGTCAAGTCCAGTATAATGATATCATAGCTTCACATATCGTAATCAATTGCCGCAAGCGTAAAAGACTCTTCGTGCTCCACTCCTATATCCGGTCGACTAACTAAATCAAGTTTATTAGATGAAGATGAATATTCTAAACTTCGTGAAAGCTACATATTAATTAATTAACTCCATCCGATCGAGGCTGAGCAACGTGTGAAAATACAAATAAAATTAATCAAGCCCGTGATGTCATCCTTTAGAATAACCACCTGCATACCTCCTATTATGGTTATATGGGTGTGGTTTAGTATATTTCTATGTAAGGGTTGTAATATAGGCTTTAGGTAATCCGTAGAATTATAGAATTAGTATTAATCTGGTATAAGCGGGCTGTTTAACCTATTTTAGCGGTACCTGATAGTGTCGTTTTACTTTGGCCTGCAACCATAGTAAAGCAACCTAACTACCTAAACAAACATGTCTTTCAAAGCAAAATGGCTGAATGCCCAAATGGTATCAAAAACTCCATAAAGGTCCCAATCTATCACGATGTTTCCTTGATAGCTCCACACCGATCGCAAGACCACCACTGCCACTCTCTAACCCGCCCACAGAATGAACATGTCCAAGTCGCTGCTTTTTCAGGAGGAGGAGGCGCGGCGGACTGTGACGGCGGCGGAACCGGTCTCGTGGTCTGACTTGGACGTAAAAATGGATTCCAAGGTTGTGTATTCCGATTTCTTGGCGGCGAGTTCTCGGTAAGGTCAATAACCGTTCGTTGTTGATTTGACGATCCTTGTGCGAGGCTCTGGGTGATCTTCTCGTCCCGTTCCGTACCACACGCATCGCAACACAAGAAACTAATCGGGTTCTCGAGCGTGCAAATCTCACACTTCCAGGTAACCCTCCCAGCTCCTCTGTTCATGTTGCGATTAGCTTCGCGAGGAGGAGGTCTTGGTGCCTCGGAAGCACCGCCATTTGTCCAAGTTTGTCTGCTAGAACTAGGTGGAATGTAGCTGTCGCCCTCCCGGGCCCTTTCTTCCTCGTCTACAAGCTCCCACAATGCTTGGGCTATCGCCGCCTCGTTTGCGGCATCCTCTTCAGCCTGCGTCCTGAAACCATTTCTGGTAGCCGTGTCGGCGATCCTCCGAATCTGGCCCTGCGTTTGGTTGTTGTTCGCGCAACCATCTTGAAGCGTGTTATTGCGACGTTGGACCGCCTCGACGATCACTCCTCTGATATCCTGGCCCGGTCGAGGGCCAACTCCGCCCAACTTTTGTCCCGATCCAGTGTTGATAGTACGGCTATTTGCAGCAGCTACTCGAGCCAGTCTACCAGCTTCTTCTGGAGGTATCTTCCCTTTGCCGAGAACATGACCCGGTGACAAAAACCCCTCGCCGGTATAGCCTTTCATTACGAGCGCCTCGAGCTCGTCTCGCAGCTGCTTCCATAGCGCATGGAATTCGTCATTATGCGGGCCGTGAACATTATGCGTAAGCTCATGAAGCATCGTATCAACCACTTGTTCGATAGGGAGAAACCGGTTGGGATCTTCGGCACATCGAAGACGAAGACAAATCCTTTGCCCAGCACCCTCATTTATGCCTGCCAGTTATAATGTTAGTATTCTTGAGATATAGCGGTAGTCCTACTCCAACCTACCCTGGAGGTTATGTTCCGCTGGGTAAAACTCGACCAGTTGGCCAACCTTCCATCCCCTCGCTCTCATGAGAGGCTTCACCAAGGAAGCTACTTTCTTCAGAGTGTGCAAGGCAACCTTCTCACAAGTAAAACCCCTCAAATGGGAATACGATAGAATTAGAGGGTCTATCTCGCGCATTTTGTTTTTGTATGATGAAATCTGTTGGAAGTATGCGGAAGAGGCGGGAAGATGGAAATGAAAACTCGATGCGATTTAAAAGGTTAAGAAGTGAAAAGTGAGAGGCCTCAACAGCTCAACCATTTCCGAGACTGTAAAGTAAGGAGGCCATAATGCAAGCTATTCATATATAAAAAATAAAAAAATAAGCTTCTAGAAATCACCGTGTCGTTGCTGACGAAAGGCGCCACTGAATCACTGAGTCACTAAACGCGAAGTTAAGTCTTAAGATGCTGCCTGACAAAAGGGTGAGTCGCAATTGCCCCGCAGTCATATATTATCATTATAAGCATATTATATGCATATTATAAGCATATTATACTTATTATATGCATATTTACTGTAGAGAGAACATCTACGAGGTGAACAACCCCTATTGTCGTTACGAGTCTACATAATTATACCTTCGACGAATCAAGCCTCAATAACTCTAAGTACTGTCAAACGAATGACACTAGCAAAAGAACAACTCATCGTCAAAATAAAGTTTAGTACTTTGTCACCGTGATTTCGTTGGTGGTCACGTAGGCCACGTCAAAAGCGTAGAATTTTAAGATTAGAATTAACTAACTACCTGTGAAAACACAACTTTGTTGAAGGACTAAGAATAAAAGGGCATTAATATAGTTAAAACTCTCGTCCTAGATGTGGACGCCGGAGCAACCTGGGGATTTAATACCTACCATTTCTAATAGGTACCTACATACCTATGATGGTAGATCAGCAGCTAGGGTCGATTACTTAAAATACTTCGAAAAGCGCAAGACCACCGAGTTGCTTGTCGTTATAATGATTTTCCTTAGGTACCCATTAAATTTCACATTAGGAGAAGAAGAAAAAATGTAGCAAATCAATATCAATGTCATCTCTGAGGAGGCATCTATACGGGGTATCCATTCGCAATAGCATAGAGTTCAGTAGCGGTCATAGCAGCAGCCTTGGCAATCGCAATTATCTGACAACCAAAATACCATTACAGTAGAACCTCATCCGTGGAATGAAGGTTGTCAGTCAGTCTTTTCCCTCTCGCGATAATTATAGAATAGGTAGCTACCAAAGGCGCACCCCTTTCTTGAATAAAAATATGAAATCTATCCGACGAGGGAAATATAAATCCGATACGCAAGGGCGCCAACACCACGGATCGTATTATTATTACAACAGTTACAAGTTTATACTAGCTATTTATCCTCAGTGCTCAGTGCTCAACTTATTCTTACTTTCCTTCCCTCTTCGATATCGCAATTTCATCATCTCTTTCAATTTTCCACTTATCTCGCCTTTACTGCACACACACGCCCTGAAGAATGCGAAATCAAACCTCACGTCACGTCACTTAGAAACATGGACTGCGCAATGCTAGACAGGAACCGTCTGATTCAGATGCTAATAGATGAAAAAGATACTCTGCTGCTTTGCTGCTGCGAGTGTACGAACGACTGCGAGGAAGCCCGCTCAACATAAAAACCGGGAGAATCCCTCCCCCCATTTACATACATAAGGTTACGCACGCCGTCCAACTCCCAGCCCATGATTATGATTTGTGTGTGGTTGTGTATGCGTCTGTGCGTGTGTGTGCTTGCTTGCTCTTGCCGAGTAGAGAGGAGTGGGAAATGTGTGGTATAGTAAGGCTCCGAATCGTCAAATATCAGTCCCTCGCGGCGTCATCTGTCTTCCAAATTTGTGAGGCTGTCTACCAACTACACTCGAAGGGGGTCGCTTGCTAACTCCCCTGCCGTCTTTCCTGGCCTTCCGCGATCTGTCTCATGTCTCGACGGATAGAATATTAAGATTGGTTTCTGAAAAAGGTTTGCGTCTCTTGTATTACAAGGTAGGTAACGTAGGATATAGGCATTGGCGAAAAACAAGGTATCATTAGCATTCCAAAGATTCCAGAAACAGTTTTGATGTCGTCTGGGCGCACCAGTGCACCTCCAAAGTCGTTTGTTCGAGTAGACAATAGACTTCTCTTAATGACTAGGCGCACCCTATTTGAAAATGCCCGAAGACTCTTTAAGGCTCGCCTCCTCGTGCTCGGCCCCGCCTCCTGAAAAAGTCCATCACTCTCTTCGCCGCGCCGCTACTGCCGGCATGATCGTGAGGTCTTCCGTACTCCTCGCCGTCGTAGGCGTCTACAAATCTCCTATTCTTCTGCAAGACGCCTCTTCCGCTTCCACGCGCACCCTGGCGTCCATCATATTGGTCGGAGTCGTAGCCAACCTGGTAGGGGGAGGGGTGTTGTGGCTTTCGCTGTGGTTGTTCAATTGACGATTCGGATTCTGAATTTAGGACCGCACCCTGCTGCAAATAGGAAGGAATTGCCGTAGGTGCCGTAGGTCTCGTATTAGCCGGGAATCGCGATTGAACAGGGCTAGCATTAGGGTCTCCTCGAACTGGCTCTGGCCGCGGTGATTGTAAAGGCTCATATGTTCCATCTCCGTACCGCTGTCCCACGTTGGCATAGCCTTGCTGCGGATCGACATATTGATTATACTCGTCCACCTCGGGTGGCTCCTGAATCGGTAGATCTTGCTGCGAAGCCTCGGGGGGTGGCGTTGAAGATTCTTTGCTTAGGCCTATAGCCCTCATTAGGGAGAAACGGCGGTTCTGCGGTTTCTCGAATGACGCTTGGGACCCGGAGATACTACCACTTCGCTTTCTACCGAGTCCCAAAGAGAAGGATCTCCGAGAAGCACGGGATTCCATAGAAGTCCTCGAGTCGCCAGGCACCGCGTTCGCCATACTGATCGGGGGATACTTCCTGGATGATTTATCCCCTTGATCCGGGCGCTTCTTGCGACCTCCAAAGATCGATCCACTGCGACCGAAGATCTTACCTCCGATTTCGCCGATAGTGTTAGATCTGCGGTGGCCTTTGACCTCGCCCGACTGCTGCTGTCCTTGAGTAAAGCCCGAAACCTGCGCGAATTTCGAAGGCACGCTGATGCTTGGTCGACCAAAATCCATGTCGGGAGCCTCTTGAGGGATCGGGTTCGAGATAACGTAGTTCTTGGAACCTTTAGGTTGTTGTATGCTTCCATGAACGTTAGTACCGGCAACGGTTGGGGGTAGTGGTTGACCGTACGATCCTCGTGTAGATGAGGCTAGTCTAGAGGCTGTCGATTGCATCGAGCCTCCAGTAGTAGGCCTCGTGGCCGATGTGCTGGGGGCAGCGGTGCTCATGTAAGCATGATCGGACGGGGCACGGGGTATATTCGTTCTCGGGGGCGGTGCGTCTCGCCGTTGCGTGCTCGGCGGCTTTCGAGAGTCTCGGGAAGGTGTAGCATAGTCGTCCCTTGAGACCGGTGGATCTCTCGGTAGGGGCTTGTCGGTAGGCGAAGAATGTACCTCGACTGGACCTTGGCTGGAAGACCGAGCCCGAGTCTTTCCGCGCGGTGACGCATGAACATCCGACTGTTCGCCTCCTCTCTGTGTCTGAGTGACAGGAGCCACATATTCAACTTGTACGGTTCGTCGCTTATTATCCTTCTGCTTGCCGTACGTTTGCTCTTCTGCATCGGATTTGCCCTGCTTCCGCGCCGGATCACTTGGAGCTGCATTAGATGGTTTAGTTTTCGTCGCTTCTCTAACAGATGCGCTCCTTGCCAAATTTCCAACATCCTCATCCTCAGTCGGCACGGTTGTGTTCTGAATCTCGCTGCTTGTAGTTGTACTACTGGTAATGAATTCAACAACGTGCGCATATTCACTCAGCCAACTATGCCGAGCCACCTCGAATAGGTCCGCACGCTTTCGCGGGCTTGGAACAAGTATGCGACGTAACAGATCTCGCGCGTGAGGAGTAACATATTCCGGGAAAGTGAGCGGAGTATTTACGATGTACTTATAGAGAAGATTAATATTGTCACCCTCAGGGTTGGCGGGATCGTCATCAAATGGTAGATATCCTGCGAGCATAGCATACTAAACATGGTAAGCAAATCAAGAGGCACCAGTAAGTCGCGTGTGAAATGGCTTCAACTTACCAATATAACTCCGCAGCTCCATACGTCGACTTTCCGGCCCGTATAGAGCGAGTCGCTGACAACTAGTTCGGGTGCCGCGTAACAGGGACTTCCGCAACTTGTTTGCATCAGATCGCCTCTACGCATTCCGTTCGGTTTTGTCTTATCTAGACCGATGCGCTTCACAAAATCACGGTCGGATAGATTCAACTCTTCATCTTCTGTTAGTTCATCCGCCGGGTCGAAAGTATTGGCGAATCCGAAGTCGGTGATGATAATATTACGGTTTCGGTCAAGAAGAAGGTTCTCCAGCTTTAGATCTCGATGGACGATTCCTTTCTTGTGAAGATATCCGACTCCCGATATAAGTTGGGCGAAAAGTCTTCGAGCAGGGCCATCCTTTAAAAATCTATGATTGAGGATGTAGTCAAAAAGCTCGCCACCAGAGGCGTACTCGAGGACTATTCCGATATGACGCTCCGTCTCGGACATCTCATGTAATCTAACGATATTAGGATGTGAGATTCCGCGTAAAATCGCGACTTCTCTATAGATCTTGGCCAGCCGGGACGGGTTGTTTCCCACGCTATCTCGCCGTATGAGTTTGATAGCGACCTAAGAACGGTTATTAGTTTGAGCTCCGCGAAGAATGAAAACTCGACTCACTTGAACGCCTCCATCTTGCTTCCAGCCGAGTTTCACTTTGCCAAATTCACCTTCTCCGATCACATTTCCTAGATAATAATCTCCAAATTTCTGACCCTTTTCGCGCTTCGAATGGTCGTGGCGACTTCGACCTCCGCGGCGGGTCTCTTCAGGTACATCATTTGCGGCTATAAGAGCTTGGCTATCCTCATCGGCAACTCGGCGTCCAGACTGGGTTTGGGCCTCGTTCAGGCGCTCTTGTTCTCTCTCAATATCATCCTCGGGCTGAGACACGATAACGCGATTAAGTACTTCACTGGCCTCACGAGACGGCTGCTTCGAGGAAGCGTTTGTAGCAGATCTGACAGGCATCGTAGTCGTCACGGTTTGTCTGTGATCCCTATTGCTACTCGGTCTTTGAGCAGGTTCCAGGTGTTGAGATGCCGCTCTTCGACTTCGGGAACTCGGATCGTCATATCCTGCTCGTGCGGGGTCCGACTGTCCGCCTGTGCTCGTTCTACCACCATCTCCCGTTCGTCTTGGCGAGTTTGCAGCTCGCTCCTCGGCACGGGCCGCTCTTCGAGGGTTTGCTGCAGAAGACGATCCTTGCTGCGTAGATGATGTTCGCGGAGGAGCAACTGGGGGTTCATTTCTTCGCCGATTCGAAGATGACCTTTCGAACTCGACCGGAGTACCTGCTACGGGTACTGGCGAGGCCAGCGCGGATCTCGACGTCATCGGAGATGATTGTACTTGGTCTTGATAGGTCGGGATTGGGCTCGTCGCGCTCGCGCTGTTTCCGCTCGGTCGTCGGGATGGTCGTCTTGAAGATTCAGGGGAAGCGTTCGCGTTCTCACGGCCAGCATATCGACCGTCACGGCTAGGAGATTGGCGGTTGGATGAGGCGGTAGCTGGGGATGGTGTATTTAGAGTAGGTATAGCGGCGGGCTGATGAGCTGACTGCAATGCAGCAGAAGACATCTTCTACGCGACAACGCGTAGACTAGTTGTCAGCTGCTGGGTTGCAGTCCTGGATGGATGATACCTAAAACAGTGAATTGAAAATAAGCAAACTGCAGTCCTGTTTTATTTCGGATGGGTTCGAGTGTCGGTGAAGGTGTTGCTGATAAAGGGGGGGTAAAGGAAAAAGAGGCTATGGGGAAAGATAGAAACACCTGCACGCGCTTGGAATTTTTTAGAAAAAAAAATCCAGAGGGCTGCTGGTTCGTTTGATCCTCCAATGAGCCAATTAGCCAGTTCAGATTGATATTGTGCGTTACAGTGAGGTGCAGTGAGGTGCTATCTTGTTTGAATAACGTTCCGCGTGGATAAAGCAGCTGATCGGCGATTCGGATTTCCCTTACCAGTTTCTTATCAAACAAGCACCAAGCAGGTCAGGTTGTAAAGTCGTAGTGCTGTGCAGGAGATAACAAGTGTGTCGTAAGGTAATCTCAGCTGAGATGCAGCTTGTGAGCCTCGTCAATGCTACTATTATTCGTTCGAATACTAGAGGTAGGTATTGCGGTGGTAATTCTTTTGTTCTATGCTTGTACCGACCAATTTAAAGGAGAGGCTTAGATGCACATGCAGATGCGGGTTGCAGCTTTGAGCACCAGTAATCTTAAGCTTCTTTTTCTCCCTTTTTTTCGAGTACTCGACGTTACTAGGGAGGGTTGATAATTGCGCGACGCCCTACTCTACCAGCGCGAAGGATTAAGAACCGGTATTGTTGATATTTAGGTAAATAAAAAGATTAATTGGCGCTATCCTCCGATTGAATTTCCTCCAAAGAAATTTAGTTTCAAGCTCGGGTACCTTTTCTTGAAAAACTAAACAGCTGGTTCTGGATCGGATAAAATCGAGGCTGGAACTAAAACAGATGTACGGACGTTTCGCTTTGGTGTGTCAATTCGACAATGGTAGGTTTTTGGTCAAAGTAGAGGTAAAAAGGTAGGCGAGGTTAGTGTAAGCCGATGTCTTCTTCGCCGGCGCTGAACCCAGTTTAATCGCTAGGCCTGCTTGTCAATTGAGTTGTAAGAACCGTTGGCTAATGCACCGCCTAACGGAAATAGGTGGACGCGTGCGATTTAGGGGGGGTCTAACGACCGGACGAAATAAAAAATAAAATAAATAAAAAAATAAAAAAAGGATTAGAGGGCAATGAAAATTGGGGTGTGGGTTAAAGGAGAGAATGGTTGCAGAGAGCTTGAGGTGCGTTTATTATTCAATACACCGTCTCCCAATTGCTTTTGCATTCACTTAGAATTGCGAATTGCGCGATGAATTGTGAAAAGCCTCGCCTGGATAAAGGCAGGCCAAATGGACGACGTGATGGGCGACGTGAAAGAGGGAGGAGAAGCAAACCAACCTTGGTAGACCACAACCAAACCATAACTTTTTCAAGAGCAGACGAACATCAAATTGGGGGCTTGCTAGGGGACTTGCTAGGTACGCTAGGGACTGCAAGTAGGGATGTCCTTGATAACCCTTTGAGAGGGAAATTAGAAGATGGTCGGATGGAGACGCCAGCAAGGGGGGGAGGGGAGGGTCCTGTCACACGCAGGACGGTAAGGTACCGTATCATACAGGTATGTATGTACATATTACCTCAGGTACTGCATAATACTGCATAGAACCAACTATATCCTCTGCGCTAACTGGCCCTAACTGGGGGACGCGTTCTGTTTTGGGGCGTGTTTCTATTTCTACCCGGCCAAAGGAAACAACCTGCTCTATTAGGATGGTACGCTAGTCCAGAAGTAGCCGTAAGTGGATGAGTTAGCAATGCGATACGGGAACGTGGTGGTACAAACTTATAGGGGATTAACCATATCAGGCAACGAACATGACGGGGTAGATAAGTACCTAGATGGATTGGAAGTCTCTAATGCCTGAGTACCTATCTAACAACTAAATGTAATGACGAAGGTAATTCACCATTTTCATGCAGGTACAATACAGTTTACAATTATGGGACCTTACAGTAGTGTATTGTACCTATCCAGGGCTGCCAGGTTTATCTTATCGCGTTATGTAACGAGCCATTAGTTACGGCTACATTCACCGAAAGCCTAGGGGCAGCCAGTAATTTTGAAGAGACTTTACTTTAGACATCCAATAGTTACCTTAGGTATATGTATGAACAGCAAGTTGTTACCTAGTGCAAGAAGCGTTAGGTGATCTCCATTATGTAAGTAACAGCGCATACATAGAAAGAACATACGAATCATGCAAGACATAGTGTAGGTACCTAGGTACCTACGTAGGTATGTAAGCGCTTCAGGACAAAGAAAGTGGCTTACCCTCGAATTTGTTTATCGATTCCAACAACGTCTTCCGACGGGCAATCTGAAACGACAAGGATACCGGGGTCTAAAATAAGAAAATACCTAGGTACATAGCTCCATTCTGCACCTTAAAGCTGTAAAACGTTAAAACTGTAAGCTGTCGTTTCTCGTTTCTTTCATCAATCGATCCTACCCGACCTCGAAAGGCAAAGGTTCCATTGCTCATCACATCAGACAATCTACCATGTAGCTTCATCTCATCTTTGTCCTTAACTTTAGCCGCGAGGCTGAACTTTTATATGCCAATCGTTGTGTTTGGTAGTAGTAGTACTTCGTATGTACTAATTTCGGACCAGTATCAGTCATTATGCATTGCGATAATGTTTTCTGCTTGATATTCTCTTTGCAGTTAGATACATTAAGTATTTACCTAGCTCGTTGATACTTGAGACGCGGTCGCGATTATGGCTACCTAGCTTTAGTTTGAACAACTCATTGTTTGTTGTGGTCGTGGTCGTGAATATCACGGCCATAACAAACGAGTCTTCTCGACCATCATATGTATGCTCCGGATCCGAAAGGCCTACCTCTTTTAATCTAAGCCCCAGTAGGGCTGAGACGTTAATCCAATAAACAGGATTGAGATATGGCAATAAAGACAATTCGACATAATCAAACAGCTATACCTATTCTCCAATTCCCATACATGCTACCTAATATCACGTCTAGACGAATAGATACAAAAGTTCTTCCCCTCCAGTTTTTAACTACGGCAGATGACAGGCTCCACTCCGCTAACAGGCTGAGAAGATCAGATCGTCTTGCATTAACATCGGAGATGACCTTCCATGGATGTGAGCAGGGGTCAGAGGAATAGTCGAGGGTTTATTAACTCTCAGAACATGGTCCACCAAGTCCTGGGCGGTTAGCCGAGAAAGAGTTCGGTTGGACCGGGTCGAGAAGAGCTCGGACTTCGCACCATACCGTATTTCTACCCTCTTAAAGATCGGCGTCGTCGGCCCAGACTCATTCGACTGAAGCCATTCCAATAGGTAGTGTATTTACCGAGGCAGTCCTCCAATAGTGTACATGAGACATTCCAGGAACACAAAGCCTTGGTGCTTCGTGCAACCACAAAGCAGAATGGCCTAGTTAATTAGAAACTTGTTTTCGAATCGAAATGGTTAACTGAAAGAAAATCCATCTTTATAATTACAAATTTCGACCAATGAAAAAAAGAGAATACTAAAAAATCACGTTCATGCAAACGTCGATCTTCAGTACTTAATTAAGTCTCAAGTAAACGTCAATATATACGTGCATATTCCGGAAAATTCAACCCAACCGATGCAGTACCTATACCCCGGAATTGAGGTTTCGGGTTCGAATGAAGGTCGAGGGCAAACTATTAACTACTTCCTAGCCTAGCATGTAACTAATGAAATTCAGGAACCCGTTTCCTAAAACCCGTAATAGGTAGCGGAAGCATTCAAAATATAAACTGGCGGGGGATACTAGACCCAAATATGTCTATATGTAGCTACACGATCATCCGGGACCGTGGATCACTTTGGGGGATCAATTTAATACACAGATAGATATCATCATCCATCGCTGCACCCGCCACTAATCGGACAATCAACGCGTAGCAGGACCGGTGGGACTATGCAGATAATAACCCGACGGCGGAAACAAATTCGTTGCGAAGGCAACGCCGCCGTTTTGTGACACTACTAACCAACACCCCAGCCTATTGGAAAGTCTAGAGTAGTTATCGCCTAGGAAGTGCCATGATTGAGAAGTATGATCACATCGACTTGATCTGTTATATATAGGTATTAACCTAAATATAGGTTCAAGTATTATTATAATTATCTGAAAGCTAAACTACTACTATACTATCCAACATACATGCACACATATAAGGTACATGCCCACGTTGTTTTAATAATTCAAGTTTGAGCTAAAGTTCTTGCGCACTTCTTCATCCCTATTGAGGTGTATAATGAATATAGACTTATATACGAGAGACTCATATAGCGGTTAAGCATAATATATGTATACCTACAGGTATCAAATTACGTAGCTATTATCGTTCTAACTACCTAGACAGGTAGTACATTAAGGATTCTTCAAGAACCAAGATAGAGCGGGAAATTAACAAAGACCTACTTACTCTTTCTCTTTACGGCCATAAATACGTCTATACACCCCACGAAGTTTTTGGAAGGCGAGAAGGTACCACAGTACCAACCGACTTGGCGACATTTTTATTCTTACCTAGCCTTGAAGTTCCTATGGTATCGAGGTGGGGTGTAAGTAGACATAGACATAGACATAGATATACGGTAGGTGGGTGCCGAATATCTCTTTTAATATGCCATCGGACGACCCCTTAGCAACAGGTCTCTTATCGGAACGAGATGGCCTCTTTGTAGCTCTTTCATCTGCCCAAGGAGAGCTGCAATTGTTTTTACCTTGTGTCCCTTTATATATATCCGAGATAAACAGCTATCCCTTACCCTTACCGTATGAAAAAAAAATTTGAACACAATGGCATGGGAACTGTGCTGTCTTCGATTCTCGGGATGATGTCAGTGAATAGAAAAGTTGAAAATCTCGGTCCATTATCTATTAGGTTAGGTACTCATAGCTTAATAGAGATATTCCAAGCATCTAACGTAACCGCAAGCGTCGTAAGAACCGCGGCATATCCTACCAATATGCCCATAGTGACGCTCGGTCCGACATCCAAAGTAGGTACCGTCATGTTTATCAGCCCCGTGAGTAGATTCGCGACCAAGAAGATTGCTAGCCCGTTCCTATTAAATGCTCGTAACACCCTGCTCGTAGCGGTCTCGTACGCCTCCTGTTCTGTCTTCGCGTCTGTAGCATTGTAGAATGACGGGAAGAATACGCTCTCGATAACGCAACATGCTAGTAACTGGAACGAGTTGAATGCAGCGATCCATAGGACATAGGGCAGATTAGCTAATCGCCGGGACACATCCAATCCCGCACCGTAATTGTAGTTCGTCGTGAAGAAATACAGAATAGTCCAGATGGACGTCCACACAGTCATAGTCAGGATCAGAGTAGTCCGCTGGGTGCTGCTACTAGTTCCACTGCGCGGGTTGATACTCCTAGGCAGTACGTACATACCGGTATCCTGACCGGCCAAGAAGATAGCAAGGTAGCCAAAGAAGCTACAGATACCCTCTTTATTCATAGATATGATATCTGTCCGCGGCGCGATAAGGACGAACGCTTTCAGGCTTGTGGTCTCCAGCACAGCTTGATAAATAACACCTAGTAGAATGGCAAGGGCCGCGTAGGACGGGATTATCTTTAACGCTGACTGGAAAAGCGCGACGAACGGAGGAAGAAAGCCCAAGGTAAAGAAGAAATTCCAGTGCACGCCGTACTCGGTTACGTGCTCGGCATAGTCGAGACCTTTGACGCTTATAAGGCGAATGACGCCGAGAACTAGTAGAGGTAATGAATGCCTCATCGCGTATACAAGCCTCTGGAACACCGGCGTCGTCCTACCCTCCGCCCTCTCCTTTAGGACCGGACGCGCGGCAACAATACCCGCCGAGAAGACAAAGGAGCCTACGCCCACGTCCATCAACGAGGTGCCCCACGTCTCAACCTTTGCGAATCTTCGGGGGAATATCCTGAAATCCACTGCCAAAATCGCCAAGCAGGTAGTAATCATCATAACTCCCCGGTAGGTCGTCAAGAACGGCTTGGTAGACAAGACGCTCAATGCGCCTGACAACTTCTGAGCTTGCGCATTGGGAGGGAGTTTGGGCTTCTTTTTCGACACGGCGGGGTTCGGGGGCAGCGCGTAGACGAATATGGCGGGGACGAGGATCAGGCCGGAGAGAAGCAATGGCTTGTCGGCGTAGAGCGTTATCGCAAGCAAAATAGCCACTACGTTTAGGAGGAAGTCGACCACAAAGCTCAGGGGCTTATACGGCTTGAAGAAAGACTGGCGAGACTGCAGAATGGACCATAGGACAAAGGCGATCTAGAAAGCTCGGGTTAGCTACAGGACTTCTCGGACAAGAAGTTCATTGTCAGTCAGTTGCATACGTACAGGTCCTATCGCAGTTACATAGTTGATTTCAGAAACAGAACCACCTGATAGGCCGGACACGAAGTCCTCCTTCATCTGCTTATAGCTGGTCGCATTGGAACTCATATTGTCTTCCCTCGAGTGAATTACGGTAGTTAAGAAATACAGTTTAATATAATTTATTAAGGGGTGTGTGTTACCGAGAGTCGACTAGCATCGTGACGATAGAAAATGGATTGTGGCCTTTTGTGAACAGATGTCAACTCGAAACGTGTTATGTTGTTCTTCTTTAGTGTAGGTAGCTTCAAGGCTTCAAGGTTGACAGTCGCGATTCGCGAAGATGGGAAATGGACAAATTAGAAATTAGAGTTCGATTAAGCAGAGTGGGTCATTAACAGCTTGTGCTATGAGATCACAGCTCTGGTTTAGCTTCGGTTTAGCTCGGCGGCTCTGTACAGTAGCTAGCTAAGGTTAAAGGTTTATGTAATCAATCCAATACGTTGAATATTATTTAAACGATGTGTTTATGTGTATATAGGAGGTAGGTATGCATCTATGAAAATACATATATTCCTTTCAACTCCCACATCGCCAACAGATCAACCGATCAACAGCATTTAATCGATCTACATATTGTAAACAGCTTTGCCAGCTTACAAACACCAAATACAAACGCCCGTAGTCATGTGAAGTATGGACAACAATATATCTCTTTGTCGTAAGGCTTGGTCAGCAGAAAACACCCGAAACCTCTTCTTCTCCCCGCCGGACTGTTATACCCGATTCTTCATGTAAAATCCCTAACTAAATGACAACACAGCCTCCGGGTTTCCTTTATTCTTTCTTTTACGGTTCGTACCCGTATCACGGCTCACTTGCTCTCTCTCTCTCAGCCCGACGGCATTTCTTTCTCCTTTGCCACAAGATTGGAAACCCCCTCGGGAAGCTGTATTGTTCTACGGCTTGGCGCAACGCAATGACAATTACTATAATAAACTTCTTCCTTTGATTCCTCTGTTTGTCCCCCCACCCCCCCATCATGTAGAAAGAAAGAAGAGCTCACAAAAAGGGCTTTGTCCTTTATCTATTCATAAAATTATTGCTTAAATTCGATCCTTATATAAGATGAGATCTTAATATGACCCTGCCCTACCCTACCTAATACATTTTGCTTTTTCCAATCTCGAGTAAGCCTTCCAAAGAGACGCTCTAGCTAACTGAGCTGTTACCTGAACTTGATTCTGCGCTCGGTATCCAATGACAAGCGATGTGAATATCTCGAGGCGTCCGGGTCTCGAGCCTATATGGACTAATAATAGCTTCCGCAACGTTGTCGTTAACGACATGCCTAAGACCATCCTTCGGCCAACTCCCATCAGTGTGGGTTTGCCTCACTCGCCAATATCTCCCAAGAGCCTCCCAAGTCTTCCAAGCCCTAATCCAGTCCATCCCGCCACTTATGATGGATCGATGAGAAGGCAGGATCGGGCGTTAGTCAACAGCCTTGACCAGAGAGCGGTGCCGTCCCTAAGCTCGGCAGCTCTGACTCCCATCGACGAGTTCTCGCCGTCACCATTGGTCGCAAGGCTCGAAAAGATCAGCATCCTACCGCCGATGAGCATTGCCAACGGCGTACTTACACCAGCTTCCTCAGATGCCTCGTCTCGGAGAGAAAGTCTGTTGTCATTAGATGAGTCGACATCAGTAACCACGCATGATGCTCCCTCAGGATATCAAGTTAGAAGTCCTAGCCACTATAATGCAGACCACCCCGCGTCGCCGGGTTCTCCGCGAAGAGATAAAGCATTAAGACTCCGGGAACAACTCCGGGTTTGGGGCCCCGTCTATTTCGGCAACTCAAAGATGGCCGACGCCTTTATTATCGCTAGATCTCTGCGCCAACATAACTGTAGCTCCCCGACGAGCCCGGCCTTCGTAAAATTACCAGCGGGTGCACCGCCAAATAAGCGACTTACAGTTCGCGCCATAGTCCGGCCCCAATCTCAAGATAGGCCAGCATTCCTGATTCAGCGCAACTTCGATATCGATGAGCTCCGGGCTACCATCCCCGATCCACCTCCACACATACAAGTAAACAGCGGCCCGGACGGACAACGCTCCCCGAGTCAGAGCAGTGCCCCGGTCCCCATACAGTCCAGCCGTAGACGATCAAGTACCGTGCGGTCAGGCACTCTACTGCGCTCCGACGCAAACACCTTGGACCTCGAGAGCTTGATAAGAGACGCGAGGGCTATACCAATGCGTAAGTAGATTCCCTAGAGACGTATCCAAGTATAGACTAATACTAATAAATAATCACAGACTTGCCGTATGCTCGAGCATACTTACCTGTCGTGGCGGCGCTACTAACCTCCGGCCACATCCGCGAGGGTGATGTCGTATATCTACCTATGCCTCATGCCGAAGCGTGGCCTCAGACGGTACGATATGTGTATACAGGGCAGGGCGAGCTAACGGAGACAGTCCGGGAGAACATATTGTATTTAGCTGGAAAGGTATGATTATGCCAATATTTGTTTTATTTAGATAGGTAGCTAGTAGTTCCAGCTTCGGCTTCGGCTCCGGCTCCGAGGGGGGAGATCGTGGCAAAGAGACAGTAATCCATCCGTATGTAGATATGTGTTGGGTCGGACGCTTCGTACATGATATGGATGGGAATAACGAGGATACGAATGGACGTGGTGTTTGGAAAATGGGCGGTATAATCTATCTCTAGCGGATGGCATTTCTCCTAGGCGCCATCTCTTAATACCTAAAATTTAATTAATACTCGACTGGCAAACAACCCTCTACTACCTATCACCAAACTTGAAACCAATGCCTTGAATTTATGAGATGTCTTCCGTCCAGGGGAAAGGGTTGGGTTGGGTTAGGCACCGTATACATACCTACCAGCCAAATCCAAATTACGCAGACTTTATACGTGTCTTAATACTGACTGGACGTAACACGATTAACACTGGACACATACCATTGTGGAATTAGACTTGGTGAGAAATAGATCTCTTTTTCGTGCTAGGTATTAAGCTATCTTCCTCCTAACTACCAAAAAACAGTCCTAGAGTTTTAGAACCGAGCAACCGTACCTTCGCAACTCAACTCAACTCAACGCAATGCAACGTAACGTAACGCAAATGTGATTCAATTAATTGGCCATGTCCCTTCGGAAAGGGGTTGATGGTAGAGAGGGCAACCTCTCAAACGACTGTAGAAATCAGAGAACCATGATTATTCTTCTTCTTCTTTTTTTTTTTTTTTTTTTTTTTTTTTTTGGTGAGAATTATTATCAAAGCATGTGGCGATGGCGATCGAGATCAGAGTTGAGTATCAAGTGTCGTCCAAATGTTGTTGTCCGAGTGTTGTGAACCCGTGTGCCTCTCGCCTCATTCCATTGCCAGCTAGCCAGCCGTCGTATGTATTAAATCAACGAAGTCACACCCTTGCGGAATCAAAGAAAACAAAGCAGAAAAAACTCAAGGCGGAAAACTCAACGCCTGCTCAATGATTTGCCTTCCTAATAGAAAGGCCACAAATACATCGTGATGCTTATTGTCTGCCCTCCTCCTCAACGAGGCCTAGTAACAATAACAACATCGCAAACTCCTCCCTCATCTTCACTGCTGCTTCTCCTCGATCTCCTCCAGCTTCTCCTTAACCTGCTTTCCCACCGCGTTAACATCCACCTCAACTTCATCGTTCGGGGTACACAGGCCAGCTCGGAAGTCGTCCGTCGGAGCGCCAGGACCACCGACCTCGACTTCGAGGTCAAGATCAGGGTCATCCACATCCTCATCCTCGTCCTCATCATCAAGATCAAAGTCACTCACGTCGTTGGTATCCTCCTGAGCACCCTCGAGATCCGGGTTGTTGTTGTTGTTGTTGTTGCGACCGCCGCCGAAGATGATAGTCGACCAGGAACCCTAGTACTTGTCGACGTAATGTAAGGAGAGGATGGGCACGGCAAAGAGGCCGATAACGAGATAACCAAAGCCGTAGGCGAACAGGCGAAGGCCCTTTAGCAGGCAGGAGTGGGCGGTGGTCTCTCGGCCGTGAAAGTGCGTCGCGGCTACGATAAGGAAAATCGGGATCACGCAGAAGACAGTGAAGAGTAGGGTGTAGGAAGGCTCGTCTGCAACGCCGCCTGCACCGCCGCCTGCATCGCCGTCGTCCTTGCCCTTGCAAGGGGTCGGAATGAACGGGTCCATCTCCATCGTCTCGATAGATTGACTCTATTAGAATATCAACGTCAGTTATGGAATTTCATATCTATTAACTCTTTCTTTGTGTACATACCGATCGGCGACGAGTGAAGACTTGTGAAGAAATGTTACCTGGAGTAACGTGTATCGAGGTAGTGTAGACGAAAAGAGTGATGGATATTGGGTATTGCGATGCTTTTGTCAGACGTGCAACGGGAGTAGAAACGGGATGCGAATAATAAATAGACGGGAAGGTTGAAATGTGGCCGGAATGATTAGGGCTTTGGGATGTGATTCTAGAAACTCCCGTTGCTAAAGGAAACAATTTATCGAGGGCAAGCGAGGCGGGCTATGTATCTCTGTGACTTGCTCCTCGGGCAACGCGGTAAGCGGTGAACCCCTCAGATTTTGTTGTGCAGCTGCAAACGGCAGGAAGGTCGAAGGCGGAGAGTCAAGTACGGTTGCCTAGTCGAGTGTGCGTGTTTGTGTGTGAATTACTCGCATATCCTTAGGTACCTAGCGCAGTACGATAGAAGCACCACGGGATACATAGGAACAAACGTCTGCCTAAAGTAGTGAATATCCTCTTATCCCCCTCTCTAATCGAAGCTTCCATCTCCTAAGTCACGTCCTATGATTATGGCCAATGAAATGCGCGCTTTTATACAATAGTATGTAACCCCCCTTTTCAATGAATAAACTGTCCCCTGTGATGTGTGTATATAACATCGACCCTCCTCCCTCCCCCCTGAGTCTCATGTTTGATGATAAGCTTTCCTCTTAGACTGATTATACCCAGCCTTATGGAGATCCCAAGTCCGTTTCTGTCTGCTTGTCCGACCTTTCCGTCCGAACGCAATTGCGCCTAGTGGACAAACTGTCCAGGCACAGGTCCATGAAGACTAGACGACCTTGTGACAACCCCTTAGAGACCATGATGGGCTTCATAGACATACAAACCTCTTCCCCTCCTGAGCTACCCGTTCCACACAACATACCCTGACATGGTGTTCTGTTTCTGCCTTCGATTCGTTCACCGCTTCCTCTAAACTTCGGCACCACTCCAACTTTGTTCTGGCATCCCAATCAGCGACCGAGAGCTCGACCTCTAGGTATTGGAGTCTTTTCAAAAGCTTCAAGCCAGTCTCTATCCATCCTGCTGCACTACCATCTGAATCCCGTATCCTTACAGTCGGAGCCCCTTTCTGCGGTGGGCCAGCTACGACCCACGACATCCCTCCTGTTGTTGATGTTCCTCTTCCTCCCCCACCACTTAGAATCTTCAGCCTCAGCCCTTTCAGTCCAGGGGCCCAAGCCTCGCACAGGTCTCTCCAATCTTCTAAAGATCGGCCCATGAGGTCCCGCGATAGAAGCTCTAGGCGAGCGTACCGCATCGTTAGTTGCCACGGCTGCAGCCCCTTCATAAACGACCGCGCCGCCCACAGCCCCGATGTAAACCAGTTGACGAATACAAATTCATTTTCTAGGAACGGCAGATGTCTACTCTCGTGGTAAATTTGCCGGTTAGCTATCAGTATCGAGGTTGGCATGCAGCAATTCGGCCGGTAAGGCGAGAGTAGCTGTGGTCGCTCCGCTATCTGCTTTTGGTTTCCAGTCAAGTCTTTCGGCACGCCGAAATTACGCCGTGGCGAATCTGTTTCCGTGTTCAACGCCACGGCTTTGACATGATAGGCGTGATAAACCGGGTTGGGGTACCACGGCGCGAACTGTGTCAGCCGGATGGGGGTCATAAGGTGCACCCAGCGGTAAATCTGCAACCTAATCTCCAGGGGCAATTCCATAAGCGGGAAGAAACCTTCATCTTCGGAGCTAGTGGCTGAATCCATCTCATCTTCCGAACACCCGTCGTTCGAGATCTCCCCCAGCATGAGGGCTTCAAAATCGGAGAGACTTTCTTTATTGAGATTTTCCAGCTTGAGGGACCTGAATTCGGAAATATCCACAGACCCCGTCCTAAGCTCCCTTTGTTCAGAACAATGGTCCAGTTCCCACGCGGTAACGTTTCCTCCGACCCAGTCACAATCGTCAAATTGGTCAAGAAACATGTTCGGAATGGATGCCGACACGGTGGTTCCCAGCTGTTATATCTGATCAACGAGTGATAACTGTACCAGTTAACATAACGTATAACCAAAAGGCGAAAGGAACAGGAGGGTTCGACCAGGTGTCCGCGAGACGTGGCGGGAAGCAGGACGACAAGATATTTATAAAATTGCAGCGGAAGCAGCTACGTCACTTGGCGGCTGCTGCTGAGGCGGTAGTTTATACGATAGATATATACTGAGCGATTTGATATGAACAGGGCTGTCGTGTTCTTCGCCCTGAATTGGACCCAATCCAATTGTGTCTAAGCCGTATTATAATCAGCCAGCCACTGACCGCCTATCGAAGAAGTACCAGTGACCAACCAAGGACCAGCCTGTCAGCGACGATATTGGACCGGCTATATGAACAAAGGAACTTGCCAGGTGGGAAAAAACCCGCTGGATATAACATCAGCTTACAGGGAGGCCTAGTCACGCTTTTGGAGAGCCGCTCTAGGCGTCAGCTTTCCCGTCATCATCCAGGTCGCGGCAATACGACGGCGGGCCGTTTTGGAAGGGTGCGAATCTGCGAGTCAGCACCGAAATGATTCAACGCAGCGAATGACACGGTTCGTAGGTATCCTAGCAAATTTATTCCGATTGGGCTCCCTTGCTCTCGATCTCCCTCTTGGAGATCCAACACGTATTAACTTGCGCCGCTTGCGCCGCTCGGGTATTACTGCATATATAGGATTCGAAGTCGCAGGTTTGATTAAATAACCAACGTCAACTCCCTCGATTTCCTTTACCCGACTTTGTGCGATATTCGCTGTTATTCCTCTTTCACCCCACGTTCGTCTCGTTCATCGGGCCGCTTCGGTATTTCCAAAATCAAGATGCTGCAGCTCAACCAACGTGCGCATAGGCAGTCAGATCTCGTTGCGCTTACGTATAGCCGGGGTTAGAGTCATCTCTGGCCTCTCATAGGGCTGAACAGGTCACACCAAATGCGTCCGTGACCGGCCAACGAGACTCGGTGATAATCATGCGTGGGACGGTCTTACTAGATGCCAGTCTCGACACTATATTGCGGCTTATGTGCATATTGAAATGAGGCTCAAGAACGGGGACCCGAGTACGTTTTCGTCGCTTATTGATGCAATTAGTTTGACGCAATAAATATTTGAAATCAGTAATGAAACTAGTTGGCTGAATACCTGTTAATTGTCTACTCGTCTTGTAATTGGTGACCGAGCCCACGAACTGTACTTGGCGGGCAGCGTCGGATGGTAACGTCAACAAAAACCAACCGCTACTATAAAAGCTTCGGAGATTATTATCCGTAGAATTAGATATTCTCAGCTCCTGCAATATTTATGTCCGGTTTACTGTCAGATCGTCGTTATCGGACTGTCATCGGAGGTGTAGGAAGTCTCGCACGAAGTCGCCCGCCTCTTATAACCATACCATCCAATACAATTTTTCTCGACTTAGTGATATCATACCGTAAACAGCGCAAGGTTGGGTATATTTTATCGTAGGGCTTGTACGGCCCTAGCGGGTAACAAACTCTCCTCTCGTTGCGAAACGCATAATATTCTCCAGCGCTGCACCCTCGATTTCCTGGGTCACGACTGCGGGTGCTGGAGGTGGAGGCGGACGATCGATGATCATAACGTCGTCGTCCTGGCCCTCATTCTTCCCCCCTCCTTCCTCGTCATCCTCATCCTCCTCTTCATCCTCGAGCGATCTTTTAAGTCCCGTCCGCACATTCTCGACACCCCGCTCGCGCTCCTCTTCAGTAAACATGTCGTCGCCTTCGTTTATCACGTAATCTCTCATGCGCTCCTCGCAGAAGTCGCGCACAGAGTTCCATATATTTTCCAACTCCTCTTCTGGACCTCTTTCAACGCCTGTACCCGCGCCTATAAGACCCTGAGAAGCTGGTGGCGAAACGAAGGCCGCCACCATATTTCTTCCCTCATCCATAGACGTCGCGATGTCCGGCTCTGGCTTTTTGCGTAGCAGTCTTTGGAGTATCATCTCCTGGGTACGCCCTGGGAAGTTAGTTGAGGGATGCACGGCAATGCGGCTGAAAATCTCGGCGGCAGGCGACGTGACACTGAGGAGGCTCTGTATCATGCTTTGAAGAACCTCCGTATGGGTCTGGAGCGATTCTCTACGGTAAACATTGATAAGCACCCAAGCAAGTAAGTAAGGCATTGGTAGAGAGTACGCACAGGCTAGGCAGCGGGTTGTTGATAAAGACGTCGGACTTAAGGCTCGCGATGCTACTGGATATCTGCGAGAGCCGCTGCCGCGTCTGCTCGATAGCTCTGAACTCATCTTGGGTAAGGTTAAGCGACGCCATGGTCTATCAACGACAGGCCGAACGTGATAAGCAGTGATATGACCTTTGGGATGTATATTATGCAGTATAGTGCAATGCATATACGATTTAAAGAATGTGGCGTTAGGCAGCTTGGGTTTGGATGAATTCTCCCAAATGCGACGCGATGTTGAAGATCGACTTATTAAACCACAGCTTCTCCAATTGACAAATGACAAATGATAATCGCATTTGTACAGTGCAATACAGTGCTGTTTTTAGTATGCACACTTTATACGCGGAGCCTTCCACCCTGCCACCGTGACTGCAGGTTCTAGAAGTTACACAGAGCAAAGCACGGACGGGACACTCCCGCCATTTATTAAGTGTACACCCCTCAATTCAATAACTGCAACCCCCGAGATCCGATAGCCGAATGTAACATGTACGAAGAATCCACTTTAGACAAGGGTATGCTCTTATCAATCCACGATTTTCAGGGTCCACTGACGTCGCATTAGATATTCGATACTGCATGTGATAGCACGGGCAGATAGAAAAAAAAAAAACAAATCAGTTGAGACTCAATTGCCTATCGACATACTTCTTAATTAACGCTTTTATCTTCAAAGATAGGTATCTAGCGCATTACTGTTTTTTTCCCCCGAACCCATGAACTAAACCACTTATCCGTAACTCGTCGCTAAATCCTAATAAAAAACCGCCGTGGTTTTCGGACTGAAGTAATCCTCAAATGTGCTTAGGCGCCGTAGATGCATCACCACCTAACTTACGTAGGCCTTCATTAATCCCCAACCAAAATCATGTCACGTTTCATACCGTAAGAGGAGCCATAGAAGCTGACCGCTACTCGCCATGTGAGCCGGCCTGATCTATAGTGACTCTTCCGGTCTCCCGGCCGTACTTGTCTACAGGGGGGTATCTAGCACGACGCTCCAGGTCGTCGAGGGGTAAGAAAGATCGGATATATCTAGATATAGCTGTTAGTCCCAAGAATCCAGATATAAGTCGGAGGGATCCCTTACTTTGAAGTGCCATTGTCGCTGGGGTTATAATCCCACGGTTCGAACTTGCCCTTGTTCAAAGCACCCCACACAAGTCTTCGTGTCCGTTGTGATAGTAGTACTTGTTGCGTGATGGCATCGAAGTCCCATCGGGCCTTAGCCTCAATTTCGAACTTCTCGAACTTTTCTTTCGCCTCCTCTTCCTCGGCAGTAAGTGCCTCCTTCTTATTAACGAGCTGTGCTAGGTTAACAAGCTCGAGGGGGTCACGTTCGAGGTTGTAGAGTTGCGGCGGGTCTGTTGGGCACGTAATGTACTTCCAAGGACCACGTCGAATCATCATGTATGGGCTAATGGTTCCTTCACCCGTATACTCGGCAATCACGGTGTCGTGACCCTCTCTCCCCTCTAAGTGGGGGAGAAGTGAAAGACCATCCATGGGTAAACCGGGAATAGGCTTAGTACCGACGAGGTCGCACAACGTCGGGAGAATATCTAAAGTTGACACATTCTGCTTCACGCGATGGGGGGTGAAGCGCCGAGGGTCGGAGATCAAGAGGGGTACTCGTACTGACGACTCGAAGTAGCTCATCTTGTACCTGTATAATATAATAGTTTAGCAATCAACTTCTTTAATTTGAGTGTGTAATTTTAACTTACCATAACCCACGTTCTCCAAGCATGTCACCGTGATCCCCGCTGAAAACGACGATGGTGTTCTCATCAAGTCGGCAGTTTTTGAGCACGCGAAGAATACGCCCAATGCAGTCGTCAACGTAGCTAACCGCACCGTAGTATGCTCTTCGAGCTCGCTTAATTTGATCATCTGTAAAGTCCTCGTCCCAGAGGTCGCACACCTTCATCAGCCGCTTGCTGTGGGCATCCTGTTCCTCTTTGGGAATCCTGACTTTAGGCAACTCAATGTCTACGTCTTCGTAGAGATCCCAGTACTTTTCCTCAATGGTGTACGGGTCGTGAGGGTGGGTGAGAGAGACTGTCAAGCAGAACGGCCTCGAGTCTGGCCCTTCACGGACCTGGTCGTAGAGGAACTGAGTTGACCGGTACATGACCTCCTCATCATAGTCTAATTGGTTGCTTCGCACACAAGTGCCGGCTTGGAGGATAGAGCTCGCGTTGTGATACCACTCCAACCGCCTATCAGGCTCATCCCAATTGACAGCCCAGCCAAAGTCGCCAGGGTAAATATCGCTGGTGAGACGAGTTTCATAACCGTGAAGCTGGTCCCCCACGAAATGCATCTTGCCGGCCAAAGCAGTGTGATAGCCCTTCAGGCGCAGATAATGAGCATAAGTGGGCACATCGCTTCCGATCTGCGAGGCATTGTCGTACGCACCAATTTTCATGGGCAGTTGACCAGATATCAAACTCATACGAGAGGGAGCGCAGAGGGGAGAGGGGCAGTATGCAGAGTCGAACTGGACGGACTTGGCTGCTAAGGCGTCAAGGTTGGGGGTCTTGATTTGAGATTCCGAGTTGTATATCTTGAGTAACGGAGCAGCTAACTGATCTGCCATGAGGAAGAGAATATTAGGTTGTTTCTCAGAAGAGCCGTTGGTGCCATTAACGCCATTGACCACCGGTGGAGCTGCTTGGCGGTTGACATCTGAACTAGGTTCTGACCGTGGCAGAGAATTAATATCAGGAGCCATTATGACGGTATTATAAGGCTGAGATTACGTTAATGGAAGAAAACTTGAACCAGACTGAGCACAGTTAGTTTCAGAGACTGGCTCGGTTTGGGATGTAATGTCTATGACAGTAGAGGAGGCTATGGAGAATAGAGAATAGGATAGTTATAGAGAATATAGAAGTTAAGAGAAGAAGAAAAAGGTGTGGGAACAGAGCAGTTTATAAAGATAGCTGATAACTAGTCTAAGGGGTTGACTAGGAGCCCCAACAGAACTGTCGATGTGTCTAGGCACTATCGGAGATGAAGATCGTGAATCGTGGAGCTGGCTAAAAGTGCGAGACTTACAAGGGAGCCAGCCGGTCGGAGTTATATATTGACTACGAGGAGAAAGTTTTAAAAGGCCAAGACTGGGAGGAATATACGTTCCGGCTAGTGAGTTTACTTAGGTATTTAAAGTATGAAAGTACTAACTACGATACGATGAAACAACCAAGCAGGCATTGTTCGAAAGGAATCCGTAAAATTATTGTTGGAAAGATGGTTAGTGGGAAAGATAAATCGGATCGGTCGAGTGGCGCAATCACAGCTAACGATGGCGAAAAGTACGCTAAGTGACACCGCTGTTTTTCCCCGTGGAGCAGATTATTACACTAGATTATTGATAAGAATACCCTAGTGTACCTCTATATCTAGACGAGATGTACCTACACTAGCTCAGGGGGGTCCGCATACAGCAACCTATCAAAAAGAAGTATCTCACTCCACCTTTTCCACATTCGGAACTTCGTCGTGTGCATGATTCGCCCAGCGATGCAAGGGGTAGATATTTACAAATATCACCCCGTGGAGTATATAAATCATACTCGTGCCCCTTGTCGCACGACTTTTATTGCTCCTTAACGCCTGAATAATGGATAAGCTATTCAGACTAAAATGCATCCTGGGAAATCTGGGGATTCGAATACCACAGTCGTTATCATCATGTTGCATATTAATACCTACATAGCACCAAGACGGACTAACATATTGTTATCTGATCCCGTAGTATCCGTCTACGATCCGCATACTGGCATTAATACTAATACAAATACCCTTAGTCACTAATAAGAATGAATTACATCAGCTCCAATCACGTCAGAGTCCACACAGCTTGCGCGAGACCGTTAATGTAGCCGCTTTGGGTTTTGAAACTCAACACTCTTTTTTTTCTTTCTCATACCTGGCAACAAAGAACATCGAGTCCTACTAAGCGGGCACCCATCGAGAATCGACTCCCGCGCATGTTTAGAAATTAGAAAAACAGCTGGAACAAACGGCAAACGTGGCCATGCAGCAAGCATCTAACTAGTTCAACCACATCTCGAGTATTAAATCCATGACCATCCATAACTATCCATGGCCAACGACAAGGTCTACGTAATGTGACTTCCAAGTCCGATCTGCGTCGGCTGTCGGTCTCGAATCCTTCTCATTCCACCAGCTTGCCGTCTTTTCATGACTGATCCATTTCCCGAATAGATCCGGAAGCGGAGTCGAGAGAGAGGGATTTTTCGCTTGCATATTAGATATGTAAATACATATTATCATGCTGCTCATGGCGCTTAACCATGCAGATGTCTCACTGCTAGGTTTTTCTTTTTCCCAGCTGATAAATAACGGTAGACGGCAGCCAAGCCCGGGTATGGGGATTAGTAGCACATGACATACCAAAATCTATTTTAATAAGGGCCACATCGCTACCGCGAGTGGTAGAGTACGTAAGAGGTCATGGTATAACATACGTGTATTACAATAGTTGATGTCTAAAAATCACTCCTACTCAACTAAGTCGGCTCAGGACGTAACAAAAATTCAGCCCCTGCGTCGTGTCGACGGCCCTTTCCTTTTAGGGGTAGCCGTAGAGACGCCGGAGCTCTGAGCGGCAGCTGGAACTGGAGCAGCCTCCTTCATCTTCCCTCTAACCTTAGCTGACGGCGCATTCCAGTAGTAGATCATCTGCGCAGCCAAGACCAAGTTCAACGCAAAGCCTGCCACGAAACCGTATAAGATCAACTTATCGTCCACCTCTTGCAATGTCGTGAAGATTCGAGAGAGCGAGCCGGCAAGATAATTGAAGACCTACAGACCACATTAGCTTAACCTAATCTAGGGATTCGAGCCTAAAATATAGAGGGGACTTACCGTAAAGGCGCTGAGCTGACCCGTTCCACCTGCCTGGTAGATGGCAGCAATTTGAGGCACCTTGCTAGCCACGCCAAGCACTCCCGCGCCAGCCTGCAGATAGCCCAGGGTCTTCATATCGAGTATTCCACGGTTGAACAGCGTGACAACGCTCGCAGCCAAGGCAGCAACAAACAACGCTGCCATGCTAGCTCTACCGCTATAGTTCAAAACGAGGACGGTGATGATGACATTCTGGCCGAGGATCAAGGCGGTCTCTCCATAGGTGCTAAAGGGGAATCCGTGGCGGTAGTTGTAGGCGAGCGAGATGAGGTAGGACGAGGTCTCGAGCAGATACGATAGAAAGCTGACACCGGAGGAAGATTGCGATTGGACGAGCTTGATGATTTGAGGAACCTTGACAATAGACGATGCGCCGATAATACCGATACCCAAACCCTTGGAGATGGCTAGCTTAAGGCATTCGGAATCCGTAGGGTCAAGATCAAGGATCAAGGTCTTGTAGCAGGTCTCGCCGATGATGGACACGCCTAGGTCGCGAATGGGAGCAGGTAAGTTATTCGTAATGGGCTGCAAGGGTTGCAGCGCAGTTTTCAGTGCCTCCATCGCAAGTTGTCCTATTTCCTAACCAGATGCACTCTGCAGGTAGTCAGACTGTCCGTAATACTTGTGTCGGTATTGAGGCCAGATATACACTACGGACTGATAAGAAAGGAGATTTGATGAGGCTGAGCTAAAATAAAAATTCCAACAAGGTTTAACACAAAACGGCCCTGGCGCGATAAAAATAACACGCCACGATACGTAATAATCAGTCAGGAAGTGCTGCTAAGCTGGCAGCTTGTGACCCTGTCAGCTGGGTTCACGGGGAGGGACTAAGCCCAATCAACCCTAGCTTTGAAGCCTAATGCCGTAGGTACTTAGGTACATGTACGTATACTCAGATACGTACCTAGGTAGGTTTGTGGCTGGTGTGCTGAACTGCAACCTCCAGTGACTGCAAGTCCAAATCAGCATTTTCAACAACGTGTGAGTTTATATGGCCAATAGAAATATCAAAGACTTTATTCAATGCTATAGTATTATTAAACGTTATTTTTAGAACTTATATTCAATTACTAAGCAGGTTGTTGGCAAGAAGTTCAGACTAACTATCAGTATCACTAATTATTTTCTATTCACTCCTAAAAGGTCTGTCAATCAGTTAATCAAATTGAATGAACACAGATATTCCTCGTGAAACCGAACTTCCAAGCACGTAATTTTAACGAAGCAGACTCTCCTTTAAACTTGCACTAGTGACTGTCGTGTAACCCACGACACCTTTATCAGCCCCTGGAAAAGACCCGTTTGCTTACGATCTACGGATGCCGGCATATGAGGTAGTTGAATAGGTAAATAATTCATTCAATAGTGTAATCTTAATGAAGACAAGGACACATCAAGGAACTTAAATTTTTAAAGATAAGTCGCCAAAGAATAGAGGAAAGGAAGGTTCATATTATATCTTGCTCTCAGGCCTATAGCCTATCGACTGATGAAGGCAAATGCGAAAAGAGCATCGCGATTATTTACTGTCCCCGACAACCACCTCATACAGAAGAAAATGTTAAACAGCTGGAGGAGCACAATAAACCTAAGCTCCTTGAAATATTGAGCGCGAAGCTGTTCTTCCAAGAAAGCCACTAGCAAATTCCGTCTCATCTAACGCCTAGATTCGGCCATTTCAGACCATTATATTCGCAAGGCGTTCCGTCTGAATCGTAGGCATAAAATTCAGATTGTGGACGTTCTATCTGAATGAAACGGCGTCTCCAGTCCCAATTCACTTCTTGCGGGCAAGCGTTGCGTTGAACTGGGCAAGTTTGCGGCGACAATGGTCTAGGTTCCCCTCGGGCTCCCAGGTGTTCTCATCATCAGGGAAGCCGGCCCATTTGACGAGGTATTCGGTCCCTCGAGTTTTGTTCTTTCGGATGCCCACAATCTTGTCGACCTGCCATTCCTTATTAGCAGCTTCAGCCTTAGCCTTAGCACCTGAGGTCCGACCACGGCGGGAGACGCCCCTAGACTTTGGCTTCAGGGCAGCAGGGTTTGCGGAAGCGATCTTAGATTTCTTGGTCTGTCCCTTATTAGCGCTCTGTGGATATATATATGAGAAAAGACGACTACTTACACTCGCCTCCGTAATGCGGGAAGTAGCAGTGGCTGCAGCAACCCGGGTAGATCGTCGAGGACCTTGCGAATGCTCCTCCTCGGCCGTAGGTGCAATTCCAAGGACGACGGAGAGTTTTCTGGTGGCCTTACGAGCAGGCTTAGTGTCGACTCCCGCCACGTCCAAGGCCGCCTTTCCCTGGATACGCGAAGACTTGCGAGCAAGCTGGTTGATGGGCCCAGTTTCCTTGTGAGTGCCGCCAGGTTTGATCTTGGTATCATTCTTCACAACTTTGCGCTGTAATTTCTGGCAAGGGGATTCGTCTAAATTGTGATTGCCGTTATCATCATCATCGCTGTTATCCCAGTCGGTCTCCTCTTTAACGGGTCTTAGGTAGACAACAGTAGAGGGACGCGCGGGACGTTGGGGTTGGGCAACGACAACGTCAACGTTCCTATCTATGGAACTAGAGCGAAGGAGACGAGGTGGCTTCTTGCTAATAGTGGACGCGCCTTGGACGCGTGAAGGTGCCATTGTGGTTGTTACAAAACTAGGTATTATACCCATAAGAATTGAGAAGTATAAAGTATTTTATAGGGTTCGTAACTTATCGGCCAGATAGATATTCAGGAAAGTTTGGGTGCTTTAGATGATAGTGACTAGGTTGGTAGGAATGTTTGTTGAAAGAGAATTATGTCTTCTTAAGGCGCGAGAGTTGGAAACTTTAGAAATAGACGTTGTAATAAGGAAGGAAGGAACCTTAGGCAGGTAGGTAGTTACTACTGGTTACCGCGTTCCTACCTAAAGTTGTTACTAGGGCTACTTGCCGTTGTTTGAATACGATAGGTACTTATAATATTATTTTAAATTTCAATAATCCTATCCGGGTTATGACTATTGTCGGGATCTACGTTAATTATTACTTCCCCTTTGTCGCATGCGATGCCTCTTATTTTCACCTTATATTTATGTTGAATCGTGGGCCATATATATAAACTCGTATATTATGGGACCTTTGGAACAAAGGGCATATTTAGTACCTATGTATAGTCACAGGCCCTCATAGTTAGGTAGGTTAAGAGTTTCTTGCGGAATGCCAAAGTTATTTCCATGCTGCTTGGTTCCACCTAGTAACATATACATATATACAACTTTCACGATGTGGGCCTAGAAGGCGTGGAAACAACCAACTTGTTCCGCAAGGAACTATAAACCAAGGCTGAAGTACTGAGGCTGGCGATTTCGTATACCGAGAGCATCTTCCATTTTGTGTGCACCATCTGAAATCTTAATGCCAGCAGCATAAGCTTGAATCACGTCCTAATATCGACATGGCCACCGTAGGCTACCTAATATACACGCAAATACGCCAAACTATACATTCCCGATTTCATCAGACTTGGAGCGTAATCGCGTCTCAATATGTATCGGATATGATACGTTGTAAGCAAATTATTGAGACCCAGCTTTGGGGTTTCCTGAAGACCAGGTCAATCAGAATCCTCCTTGTAATCATCAGGCAGCTCTTCAAATCGGCCCTCCTGGACAGCTGTTCGCACTGGATTCTCAGCAGAAATAACACCATTCGCTCTCAGCCTACCAAAATATTAGTTGATGTCGACGTACATATATCGGAATGGAACCCTCACCTTTCAAACAAGACGAACAACCGTTCTGCCTCCCTTTCCTTCTCGGCGTCGGTCATCTCGGGCCCCTCGGGCTGTCTTTCGGCATCTAGGAACTGGCCCGTGATGGGGTTGACGGGTCTATCAGGTCCACCCGTGGCAGTGCTGAACGCTTCTGAGGCGTTATCAGGAACCGGCAAGTTCCTGCTGAATAGGAAACCGGAGGCGAAGCCATAGCCCACGTTCTCGACAAACTTTGATGCATCTCTGTCAGACATATCAAACAATAAATTAGATATTACCTCTCTCAGCGAAGGTGTTAAAGGATTCGTCGAATTCTTCAATAGCCAAGAAGGCAGGGTACTAGTCCGGCCGAGTACTTCAGCCCTGTCGTCTTCGGTTGGCAAAAGCCTAGTGCGTATAGACTTCTTTACGTCCGCAGAGGCGTGTTCGTGAATCCCACGGATCACGCTAACTAAGGGCGTAATCAACGGCTCTAGGTCCTCATTTTCATACGCAGTGGTCGAAGCGGATAGTAGATCGATCAGACGGTTAGATAGAGCACTAGGATCGTTTTCGGGGAAGAGAAATGCCTGAACCTCTTTGGCGGCAAGGTCTAGGTTAAGGAGGGCATGGACTAATTGGCCGATAGGGGGGTCCAACGGTTTCTGAACTTGAAATGAACCTTTGCATAATAAGGTAACGATGTGGGGTATAGCTGAGGTAAATGAGGAAACTCGGTCCTTGCAATGGTGGGTAATATTAAAGAGGAGCTTGAGCGTCTCCGTGAGCGCCATGTCTTCCATGGGGTCCGTCACCGGGCTTCCAGTGGTGCGACGCTTTGCATGCCGCTCAAGATTCTTATTGATAGCATCTGCAAGATGATGCTTATCAATGAGCTCAGTCAAGTCCGTGTCCGTGCCATAAGTCGTTAGAAAGAGTATCCTGGAAACTAGAAATTCGTCATCGCGACTATCACTCTGCAATTTGTCACATAATTTGCCCTCGTATCCAAGGTCGACGAAAACCTGACGAGTCTCTGGCTTCAGGAGTAGCGCATTGCAGAGAACTCGCAAAGCATTCCTGGATGTAGTGCTGGATGGACTATTGAATGCATGTCGGGCAAGCGTCTCTATGCCCTAAGAGCTGTAAGCTTATGGGGGTTTTATACTGATGGCTTGTTAACTTACCTCTTTTGTAAATATGGGATCTGCATTCTGAGGATCTCTTCCGTATATCTTGAGTTCTTCTAAGGCAGAGTCGCGTTCTTAAAGTAATAAAAGAGTTAAGGTAGGATAACTAGGTAGGTAGTTTATAATGGCACCTTACGTTGAGAGGATAGGCTGGCGGAAACCAGATCTTGTGACAGTTTTTCCATCAAACTTGTGACTGCGGCCAGCTTTGCTGCATATCCGATTAAAATTATGCTATCGCTAGAGGATATTAACTACTAACCAGGCCCTCTAAGGGCAGCGGCCGCAAGTACCTGCTGGCTAGGTTGAGACATTTGAGGATGGACCGGAGAATCCTCTGAATCGCCTCACCGGTTACGAGATGATGGAGATACCGGCCAGATGGACTTGGATAGGGGTCGACGAGACTGCGGAGTCATGGTAAGCCAAATGTATACAACAGTTTAGATGTTTGTAGATAAAATGATGGTAAAAAGATATGATGTGTGAGGATCGTATGATATAGAAGGCACTTAATTATAGTCCTAATTAACTAGTAAATCAAACTTGGGATGTTGTATGAGATGTCGAGAGCACGAGAACACATATGGAGCGGGGCTAATGATGAAGATCGAGAACTTGTTGGTTTGTGTAAGGAAACGTTTAGGACTGACGTCAAGTTGGGATGCTATATGAAGCTATCCCAAGCACGAAATTCGTATTGAAAGGCTATGATATGTATTTTCTTTACCTTCGGTATCAGAGTAGAGCGTAGGTAGAGAGTAAATGAGTTGGAAGGGTTTCGAGGAAGGTATGGCACGAAGCTGTTTCCTTATGCGAAGGCTAATATTAAGATACGCAATCGTGAAATAAAAGAATATCTGTTAATAATGTTGTTAATAGAGTTAAGTATGACGCAGCAGGGATATCGCATGTGTCGCATGTGTCGCATGTTAGAACAAACTTTGAGTACTTCGTAGCTGGCAATGGTACTTGAGTACATACCAGCGGGACACTGGCCATTTCAATACGGTATGTACATATGTACATATGGACCCCAGTATATTACGTAAACGTCCAACTCTCACGCGAGGGGTTCCAGGTTAAAGTGGAGGTCCGAGCTTCTCGCGTTAATTTGACAGAAACTACGCGAAAAGCTTACCGCGACGCGTTTCTGCCTTTTTTGCTAATATCTAATGGTCAAGGGGGTCCGCCTTAACCATCCAGACATATCAGACATAATTGAAATTTGCTGTATCCGACCGCAACCACACCCGAGATTGTCTCGTTCGTTCATTATACGTCCTATATCACTCGTTGAAATTCATTGAAGTTTATAGCATTGAATTGGAATTGGAGTTTATTGATGTCGTTCGGTTCGTATAGCGCATGATATCTTTGTTTCCGGGAGATCTGGGAGGTCTTTTTCCCAGTGGGAGTTGTTGGCTGGAGCAGTCATGGTATCACAAATAGCATCAGTTCCAAGAAGTTTGGATTCCTTGCCTACAAGACCACCGACGCCACCTCGAGACAAGAAGCAAGACACGGACTCGTCCTCGAAGCTTGCTCTCTCTAATCACCCCGTTGATACGAGACTAAATCTGCATACTCCTCCAAGCTACTCTTCCGATCCCACCAATCATACCAACACTAGCTCTCGGAGATCGACAAAGAAGGTTGGATTCTTGGTACAAGCCGAGTATCAAGAAGCTCCAGCCCACGCCGACAAGGAGAATGTTCGAAAGCAAACAACGCCGGCCTCTGTCCCTTCGTCGGTAGCCTCAGTCAGACCGATCAAGTCTATCTTGAAGCAGACTTCGAGCCCTAGTCCTCTCCACTCCCTAGATCCATTAACCGTCGGCGATCAGGTCAACATCGCAACCATGTTAGACTCAACCATCAAGCAGCTCGCCGGGGCGGATAGGGACTCTAAAATAGATGCGTACATGATGTTAGCACGGGCATTGAAAACGTCCAACAACTTGCCCGACCGTATTGCCCTTCAGGACAAGATGAGCTTGTTCATGCAGTTTATACAACGAGATGTTACGACAAAAGCTATAAACGAAAATATCGACTCGTCTCTGGTAAACCACGCTCTTACTCTACTATGTACCTTTTTTCACTTCCCGGCCATCGCCTCTACGTTGTCGTCCGACTTTGGCGTCTTCATTATCGACCACTGTATCAGGTCGTTCGAGGACGCTTCCGTACCCAAGGACGTAGTGAGGCACCTGATGCGGGTCGTAGCCTCTCAGGACTTCTCGGCAAAGGTTATGACGGCTGACCGTGTCGGCCGGTTGGTAGCTTCGCTCCACAAGATAGAAGAACATCTCAAGGGTAAGAGTATCATCATGTCTCGCATATTGATATACCGAAGATTAGTCAAGCAGTCGAGGTCCCACATGATCACTCATTCGGACTGGCTCCTGGATCTGTTTACCGATATGCTTAGTAGCATGAAGGAGATCCGCGCTGCAGCCATCGCGCTGGGACTTGAGGCCAGCTTCACAATCGGCAAAGAGAAGCAGCTGTCTAGAAGAGTTATGGAGATACTACAATTACAGGTTGACGACACTAAGTATATCGAATACTATGTAGAGAGGTTGACGAGCATGACAAAAGACAAGGCCCAGTCCGCATCCGTCCCTCAAGTTTGGAGTGTCGTCATCCTCCTTCTCAGATGTCCAGTTGACAGATGGGAGTTCTTCGGACCGTGGTTGGAGATTATCCAGCGATGTTTCAACAGCGGGGATTATCACACTAAACTCGAAGCCAACTACGCTTGGAACAGGCTCGTCTATGCCCTACACCTCACTGAGACGTCGTTTTCAAAAACTATCGTTACAGTGTGCCAACCCTTCATCAGCCAGTTAAAGAGAAAAGGCAACAGCAAACAGTTAGAGGAACTACGGAAGGTTGTCATAGCTAGTGTCTGCAACCTTTACTACTACGCATTCAAGCCGAACTTGAGCACTGCGCAAGTCGATAGCTACTGGGATGCGTGCGTAAGGCCTCTGATTCAACAACTGGCTTTTCCCGAGGTGGACACCAAACAAATTGAGAAACCCACAGCTATGGCCTCCAATAACTTGACCCAGGCAGTTCTAATATTAACCGGACTGTTCAACTCGTCGACATCTCGGCTATGGAAGGAAGATCGCGTCGCCGAGAATGCATTGGTGAAACCGGACGAGCTACCTGCGCTGGATCCGAAATGGGTCAGACGAAACGCGGCGAGAGTATTTTCTGTGGTGGAACCTATCTTACAGAAGACGTTTGTGGACCTCGCGAGCCCGGAATCTGCATTATGCAAGCTCTGGCGTACTCTCGTGAGCGCCGTGGCGGCTGCTGCGTCCAAGGAGGTCAAGGTATCCACCGACACGGCGACTTTCATGGCACATGCTTTCAGCGTACTAGCGAGGATATGGTCCCAAGGACTTGACGGCTCAGACGCCCAGCCCGAGCCACAGCAGAAATTCCTAGATGCGACACAAGCATACTTTGGGACGATTATAGAGTATTTGGGTCAACTGCCCTTCACCGAGAAGCTCCTCTCCCTGAATAAGCAAAATTCGTTTATTCCAGTAGCGACTCCTTCTCATCGTTCAGGAAGGGGTCAGGGCTTAACGCGAACTCCTCTTCATCACCTATTTTCTATCCTCTCCACACTACCTCCTGGTATCCCCGACGACGATGGCTTATTAAGTCTAATCAGGGTTGTCTTAGATCCCTTCATAATTTCCCGATCCTCCTCTCATGGGAAGACTGAACTAGCTCGCGAATTAATACAGACGCTGCCCATGGACGTCCTCTCGCCGTATGGGCCGTGGGTTTTCATATCCGATATCCTCTCCCTATCTCTGGAGAGTAGCCAATCTAGCCATCTCACCGCCAGCTCTGGAAGCGAACCGATGACAATTGGTCACGAGTACCGCGAGATTATAAGGCACCTTGAAAGGGGTCTCAAATCTACACCTAATCTTCCTTGGGAGCATTGGGATTCGCTCTTCCAATTGTTGACAACCCGAGTCTTCTCTGAAGCTGGCAGTGCAGGACTGGCCATCATGGTGGTAGAGCCATTAGCTAAACACTTCTTAGACTTAGACTTATACCCTCAACCTGGCGATGAGGCGATGTCGCCTACTCATTTCAAGGCTGGCATTAATCTAATCTCTAATGCAGCGCACCCCAAAGATCGTCAGGCGCTGGACGCTGCTCGACGGCGGCTTTGGGGCACTTCCATTGCCGGCTCGAGACCTGCTTCATTCGACCCCTTCGACAAATTTTACCGTCTCGCAAACCACTTACTAGAAACGTCTTATTTGCACATAGAGCATTACAATCCAGACGAGATGATCGTAAAACTGCTTACCGAGATTGGGTGCTTCCTAAAGCGATGCAACCGTTCGCTATTATTCAAATCAATAGCTCACTTGCAACATGGCATTGGTCTCTGGATTCAAGATGAGAACGCACAGTACAGTATAGTGGAATCCACGACGGTTGCCCAAGCTGTAAGTAACGCATTATTTTCTAAGCATCTTTTGCACCCAGTACTAACAGTTTCAAGGTTGAAACCCTGTGGGATCAGATCTGCAAGATGTTTCTGGATACAGATACTCGAGAGAACCTACAACTCGACGCTATCGAGGAACTGCTATGCTTGGCGTTCCAGAGCAAGCATAGGGGTATCGTTAACTATACTGCGGTCATGTGGAACCGCGTTTTTGAACATGCTGAGGAGATTCAATACCCAGAGAAACTTAAGAATGTGCTCATTTCTATTCATTCTTACGTTGATGTAGTGCTTCCTGGCGTAGATGTCTCCAGCTACGCGTCTAATGGGCAGGAACCGTCATTCATAGAATCACAAGATAATTTGGAGACCGCGAATCCGCCTCTTGACAAACAGGACCATCTCAAAACACCTCTTGCAAAGCAATCATCTTCAAGGCGGTCAGTAACGCCTGGATCAGTCCAGCTTTCGCTACCTTCTAAACAAGGACTTGCTACTACTCCTAATCAATCTCGGCCGAGGTCAGCTAGGCGTAGCGCAACCCCTAAACTGCGGCACGACGACTCCCAAATTCAATTCGCACCCATCGAATCATCCCCCAGCCGCGATGCAATGGAATCTCAGTTCTTGACAGATCGTCAGAAGGAAATCCGCGAACGACAGCGAGAGAATGCCGTCATTTTTGCCCATATTCGAGCCAGCACAGAAAACCAGATCTCGAACGAAGTGAAAGATTTGAAACAAGAACGAGATACGACGCCGCAACGCAACCAAGGCCTCGAGGATTATGTAACATCCACACCAACACCCAGGCGTGGCCAAGCTCCCATGATAGATTTTGATCACGAGATGACAGACGATATTCCTTCTTCGCCACCAGAACCCCGTCGGAACTTACTCGCAGAAATGAAGCCACGGACCAGAAGCAGTAACATGCTTCAAGACTTTCCTATCCTATCTTCACCTGTTTCTGGATCCCCCGTTACAAAGCGACAGACGGTACCCGCGGACGAAAGCCATTCAGAACGAGAAGATGCAGGAAACGGCGAGGACGTATCAGGAATTGTAGAGGAGAGCCCGGATCAAGCTGTAGGATCTCAGCCAGAGCGTATATCTACGAACGTGAAAAACAAGTCTGCTCAGGTCAATGCCCCCAAAAGACCAACTACTCCACGGAAAACTCGCTCGGGCAAAATTCTCGATGCCTCGCCAAAGTCCGACCCCGAGGTCTTCGTGGACGCTCTCACCAGCCCAACGTCTCGATCGCCTCGAGCCCTGCGTAGCAACATGTCCAAGGGTGTACAGACCGTGCAAAACCTTCTATCTTCTTCTCAGTCTAAGGACCGTTCTTTCGAGCTTAGTGACGACGAAGAGCGGAGTCTGGCACGTCTGGTTATCGAACTAGATTCTAGGAAATGCGAGCCAGCACCCAAGGACGATTCAGAATCTCCAGAGAAGCCCCGAGAGTTAGGGATTCAGTCTTCGGAGTGCATCACAGTGAGCGCGGGATCGAATAAATCACGTGGCAAGTCCAAGTCTAAGAAAGACGAGAGTAACCAGTTGCCGCCTGTTATTCCCTCGTCGTCTACAGAGACGGGAAGCTCTCATTCGCCGAGTAAGAGGTCGAAAAGAAAGAGGAAGCGGCATACGGACAGGAGTTCAGAGCCCGGCAGTAGTCAAAAGAAGAGGAGGCAGCACAATGACGCGGATGTCGAATCAGTATCCAATAGCCAGGTACCCGAGAATATCGAAGGGGAGACAACTGAAATTAATACCGAAGTCGACACTTCGATGGAGTTGGACACCAATATTGCTTTTAGCTCGCAAGATTTGGCGAGACAGGAGCCCATAGTCGCAGAAGCCGCAGACGCCGGTCAACGAAGCTCCTCGCCTGTGGATTTCAATGACAGCCTCGTCGAGCGCGAGTCTGATACGGAAGCAGTAACTTTACAGATAATCACGGAAGCATCTCAACAATCAGAAGTCGAATCTATTCCTATGGAAGTACTAGAGGACGGTATACCTTTAATAGATGATACGGAGATGGTGGATCAAGAGGAAGGGGACGCAGAGGAGGCGGCTGCTGAGGTTCAGGCTGAGCAGCCTCGTTTGGTCGAAGAAACAGCAGTTGAGAAATCGGCAGCGGACAAAATCATGGATGCGCTGAGGGAGGGGCTCGAGGGTCTCCGTACAGCGACGTTGACTCGAGACGAGGTCAACAAGATTGAGGACATGTTCTTCGATATCAAAAAGGAACTATACCAGGCGGAGAGTCGGGGCCGATGCTAGGTTTCAAGGGGGGCTGTAAAGGTTAATGGCGGATGACGACGAACATATTTTATTTAGGTACTGTTGGACGATGCGGTTATGAGCATTAGGTACATAAGGCATTGATTGGTAAGGCGTTCAGGACGTAGATGATACCTAGTTACGATACCTAGTTTATGATACCTTAGGTAATCTACGAAATATTTATAATTATTTTTGGTAGTTTAGTTCCTTTCTGTGATGGACGAAGGATTGGCAATTTTGATATGGTGTTGGTGACGAAGGTTGCAGGTTAAGGTTATTAAGCCGAGGGTGTAGATGTTCGGGAGATGTTCCCTTGGTTGGGACGATTCCGGCTGATTGCTCGCGTCTCATAGGCACGTCTTAGAAAGATAGCTGCAGGCAGGAAAGATGGGCGTTTCAGGTTATGCGGTGCCACCAGGTAGGATACGGGAATACTTGCATAATATTGTATACATGAGCTAAATAAGGTGCGGCATATGTAATGTTGGGTACCCAATGTATGTACTTATATGTCATGTCATGTACGTATTATATACATTATGTACATACATACATACATGTATGGAGATGGAGATGGAGGTAGGTACATACTGTTTTGAGGTACGTTTTTGATCTTCGGAAGGGTCGTCTCAGTTGAAGGTCTCAGTTGAAGCTACAATCCACCTTGCCATTGCCATTCTTTCTCTGCGGGTCCCATCCGGGGGGGAAGGAAGGGGTGGGGGTTTTTTTGTTTTTGTTCTTTAGTTTTTACTACATAGGTAACTACTTCGTATGTTAAAAAGAGAGTTCCTACAACTTAATTTATACCCGTTCTCATTGAATCAATCTAGGTTACTGCCGAGATAACATACAAACATTCGATAATTAGACGTTGCTTGCTACCTCCCCTCCTATACTTAGACACATATAACCTACAGTATTAGTATGTATTACCCCACCAAAGAAAGACCCCTTAGGTAGGTACCTCCTAACCTAACCTACTGTACCTACCCTTACCTCTTGGATTAACTATGGATTATACATAACATAACCCCGCCATACAACATCACATCTACCATCACATCTAACCATTATCATCAACCTCTCTTGACATCTCCATCTCCATCTCCATTTCCTACCTATCCTTTACCCTACCTACCTAAGGTACTCATCGTCTCAACCTATCGTCTACCAGCCTAACCTTGCCTTACTCGACCTGCCTTACTCGACCTACTGAAGCTAACCGACTTAGACAATCGACTAGCAATCATGGTTGACCGACCAAAGAAGCCTTTGGCGCTAGCCACTACCCCGGGTCTGCCACCTCAACCCCAGGTTAACTTTTCCCAAGACAATTCGCGAGTCACGGCTGTCCTTCCCACCGGCGAGAGCGTCGAGGTCCTCCTCTACGGCGCTACCGTTATTAGCTGGAAGAACCGCTTCGGAATAGAGAGGCTCTGGCTGTCTGATGCCGCTAAGCTCGACGGATCCAAGGCCGTACGAGGTGGCATTCCTCTCGTCTTTCCCGTAAGCTACAAATTAATTCTTAAATTAATTCCCTCTTTGCTTTGAGACAATACTTTGAGACAATACCTTCGTTAGGGGCGCTAGTTAATACTTATGGCGGATTGCTAGGTATTCGGCACGGCTCCTCACCACGCTACAGCCTCAAAACTACCCCAGCACGGCTTTGCGCGCAACTCGCGATGGGAATTCCTTGGCAAGTCGAGCTCTGAGTCGTCGGGGCCATCTGACACCTCCGTCAAGCTCGACTTCGGCCTCTCATCCGCCACCTTAGATGAGAATACGAAGAGCTTATGGCCCTACACCTTCTCCATCATCTACAGCGTCACCTTGACCCCGGAGAACCTGAGCACGAGCATCGTCGTTACCAACGATGGTGAACAGCCCATCGACTTCCAGGTCCTATTTCATACATATCTGCGAATTGACGTAAGTGATTCCTAATGCGCATAAAAGGCGCATAGTACAGCGAGAGCTAACCGAAACCCCCACGTCGAACAGGACATCTCAAAGATCCAGGTGACGGGTCTCGAAGAGTCGGAATACCTCGACAAGGTGGACGCGGCTAAGGCAAAGACACAGACAGGTGCTATAACTATCACGGGCGAAACAGACAGGGTGTACACGCCGGTCAATGGTCCCTCGAGCCCGGTGGTGGTTGCAGAGGACGGCGAGGCGGTTTTCAGCATCGTACGGGACAACCTTAAGGACGTTGTGGTCTGGAACCCCTGGACGGAGAAGGCGGCAGGCATGGGCGACTTCGAACCCAAGGACGGCTTCAAGAAGATGATCTGCATCGAAGCAGGTTCCGTCAGCGGATGGATTACACTGGACCCGAACGACGCATTCGAGGGCGCCCAGACGATTTCCGACTGACTTGGTAGCGGTGGGGTTCATGCGGCGCCACGGAGTATGGGCAGGCTGTGAATAAATGCCGATTGGTCGGGGAGCTACTAGGAACAAGGGCCAATGATGAAGTAGACGGAGAGACGGAGATATCTTTGAAGATATTGACAATCCTTGGGCGGAAAGAATCCTGGTAGATCTCCTTAGTTACTCTTTTTCTTTCCTGATAGGAAGAAAAACGACGGCTCTTACTTGATTTGATACAGCTGGCCAATCACAAATAGTTGCACGTCTACGCGATTCCCATTGCTCCTGAACTCGGCCAAGCATTTGTGTTGTCATGGTGTCCAATGATTCGTAACCCCGGCTTGAGATTTGACCCCGAGTAAATTGCTTGCACGCTGAGAGAGAAAGAACTATGAAAATAAACAGGAAACAGGAAAATCAAAGTACTGATTAGAGGATTAGTTTACAACAAGCCTCTAAGCCCAAGCATGTAAACAACGGAAGAATGCAAGTAACTAAAGAACCCAGATTCGTTAAAGGCCACCGAAGACCCAACCTAACGCGGACGAATTTTATCGCAATATAATACAACCACCCGCCTTGCGAATATAACCTATACTCCTATGAAATATATCAGGCCCACTCGCAAAAGGAAGAGAAAAAAACCAAATTAAAATCACCGCAAGCTCTGGGGGGGGGGGGGGGGGGGGGGGGGGGGGGGGGGGGGGGGGGGGGGGGGGGGGGCGGGGCGGGGGGGGGGGGCGGGCCGGGGGC